TGAGTTTCATCCTCTGCTGCCACACAGATAACCATGGCAAAACCCCTATATATGGTGTGAATTAAACCTCCACTCCATGGGGTTGATAGGGAGGGGGAGGCACACTCCCTTCTGAGATCCCACTAAGGGCTCTGGCCTGTGCTCAAAGTCTGGGCAAAGGAGACAGCAGCCCGAGGCCTGCACTTGTCCTACCACTCACCAACATTGTGCACTGTGCAGAGTCCAAGAGATGCAACTTCAAATGGGATCTCTTCATTTTTTCATCCTATAAAAATTATTATTATTATTATTTTGTGATACAGTTCCATTTGCCCCGGGTTTTCCCTAGCCCCCTCTCCATTGATTTCCCTTGTATTATTATTATTATATAGTTCTTCATAGACAGTCATGCCCATCATTGTGGACATGGACAATGGCAGAGAGTCCAGCATTCTATTGTCAAGATATAGTTAACAATTTCATTGGGAGTCCATCTTTGATCTGGAAGTAGAGATGATTACTGCATTTTAGCATCATATTTGGATATGATAGTCTCCATTACACAGTTACTGTACATCTCTTAAATGAAAAGTCACAATACAAAATCAACAATAGGAAGAAAATATGCTACAGAATGATTAATGTGTCATTGAAGAAATGAAAAAGAAAATATAAAATCTTCGTGAAGAAAATGATGCTACTGCATGATCTATGAGTCATTGAAGATTTTAATCAGGAGAAAGTATTTTGAAGCAATCAAACTAACACACACACAAAAAATCAAAATCCATGAGACTTAGTTTTCACTGATCTTTGTGAGATATGTCTCCTGTAGGCAACAAAGAGATGAGCTTTGTGTTTCTAATCCAGTCTGTTAATCTATGATGTTTGATTAATGAGTTTAAGCCATTTACATTCAGGGTGGATATGAATGGGTGGTAATTTGGTTCTATCATTTTAGCAATGGATTGTTCGTTGATTTAGTCTCCTGTTGTTATTTTACTGGAATGTTCTTCGCATTCACCTTTGGTTTTAGTGGGCACTATTCCTCTTCTCTGTCAAGATGTTACATGATTACATGTTTGTAATTTGTAGATAGGTTTGGAAGAGGCAAACTCTTTCAACTTTACTGTGGAAGAGTTTTATTTCATTTTCAAAAACAAAGGAAAACTTCGCTGGGTATGTTTTCCTGGGCTGACAATGTTTTGCTTTTAGAATCTAGAATATGTCACTCCATTTTCTTCTGGCCTGTAGTTTCCTGTGAGAGAACTCCTGTGAGTTTAATTGGCGTTCATTTTTATGTCAATTGATTGTTTTCACGTGTACATTTAAGAATCTTTTCCTTATGTTCAATTGAAGAGAGCTTGATTATCATGTGTCATCAACCATGTTAGGAGATCTGTGCCCCTCCTGGATGTTGTTTCCCAATTCTTTCTTTAGATTACAGAAATTTTCCCTTATTATATCATTGAATACAGCTTTAATCCCAACTTCTCTTTCTGAACCTCTGGGAGTCCCATAACTCTTATATTTGGCCTTTTAATAGTTTCTTTCAGTTCTTGAATACTTTTTTTAGCTTGACCCAGTTCTGCTTGCAGCTTTTTGTTTCCTCCTGGTAACAGGAAAATTTTCCAATTCTGAGATTCTTTCTTCTGCTTGCTTCATTCTATTTTGGAGACTCTCCACTGTACTTTTAGCATGATTAAGTCATGCTACCTGAGTGAAGGGCCACCTGGGACCAGGGTTCTGGAAGTGGCCTAGAGGCCATCTTGTCCTGGAGACATGTTGGCTCGGTACCAGGCACCTCCTAGCATCCCTTTCTATCGGTGCAGGGAAAGGAGCTGACTCCCCGAGTGATCCCTTGCAGGTGCACCTTTCTGGTCCACCCTCCCTGGCCAGGGCCTTTAGTGCCTACATCGTGCAGCCTCTGAGGCCCAGGTCCTCATCATCACTGGATGTCTGGTGACTGTGAAGTCTGATGTCCCTCTCAGGTTGCCACCCAAAGCCTCCACAGGCTCTGATAGCTACCTGCCTGGGAGAACACATCTTCAAGCTGGCTGCCCCCTTAAACCCTTTTTGAGAGCCATGCCACAATCCCCAGTGGGCCCTGCTCCCGTAGTGGCTGTGGGGCTGGCAGGTGGCGGCACACCCCTCCCTCCTGCTCCTCATAAGTGAGACCTGGTGAGTGATCAAGTCACTCCCAGTTGCAACAAAGACCCCCAGCACCACTCTCCAGTGAGTGAGTGCAGCTGAGGCACAACACAAAAGGCAGCAGCAAAAAGCAAAGCAGCCAAGCAACCCCCTCGGTCCTCCCCGGTGACGGCCACTTTCAAGGATCTGTGTGGGAAATCACAGCCACCAGGGTCTCTCAGTGGCGACCCAGCACTTTCCCTGCTCCCTCTCGGGGGCTCTGATCTGCTGGGCTGCTGAGGGCATTGGGAGGTCTTGTCCTGTTAACCCAGATGTTGTTGGTTTTCAGTCATCCTTTTATTTATTTATTTATTTATTTATTTATTTATTTATTTATTTATTTATTTACAAATACAGTGATGAAATATACAGACAGTACGATCATCAGTCACACCTGTCAGCAGAAGTAAATCAAGTCAGCAGCATCTTCAGAAGTTGGTTATCATGCAGACTTCTCTTGCTTCTTAAGTGAATGCCATGGACAACGAATTCCAGGGTGCCTGCCTGCCCTTGAGGCTCTGCAGCCCCACTGGTTCCAGCAAGCCCTTGTGCAGGAATAGCTAGGCCCCACTACAAATTCTGTAGTTGTATCTGTAAACCATTTTCTCCTAAGAAGTCCACTGCAATCTGCACTCCCACCTCCCAAGTTTGCTTGGAGGTGTGAAGAGGCAGATTTTGAAGCCAACCAGCTTGCAGGCTTACACCAGAGGTTGTGGTTCATCCTGGACCCCAGGCTGCCGGGTTTGGACTATACCTGGAGGTAGCCTTAGTACAGGTGAGAGGAAGAATGGGCTGCTCTAAGCATGTCCTCCCCAGCTCCCAGCTGCTTCTCTTCCTGGCACCTGAGGCCTTATGTTTTCTGATCGTCACATGGGCCACAGGAGATGAGCTGTCGTCTGGTACTCCTTCGGTATGGCTAGAGATGGTCTAACAGTGGTGTTCTGTTAGACTTCCTGCTGGCCCACACTGCCTGTGCAAAGGCCCCCTCTGTGCCACCCCTGCCTGGCATGGTCCTTCCTGGGAGTGGGCAGTGAATTCAGGGACTTCCATATTCACGCAGGTGGGAGTTGAAGGATTTCTTCCTGCAATCCTGGAGACTGTGGTCTCCATAACTGTACAAACGCCAGAACCACAGGGAGCATGAAGAGTGGAGTCCACAACTTCTACTGACCCAGCAACCCCCCACCCAGGGTGGGTGGAGGTTCTTCTTCTTAGAGAAAGCTGCTCCTTCTCTAACACCCACCCAGGGTCACTCTGCTCAGTCACTGTGGTTAGCACAGCGGTGGACACTGGACCCAGGCTGGTCCAATCAGAGTCCTCCCATGTGGGATGTTTCAGACACTGGTCTCTGGTGTACAGGCGCCCATGAGCAGCAGGAGAGGATGTGGCCAACCCTCAGGACGACATTCACACAAAGGGATGCTCCATCCTTTAGGGCAACCACACTGTGGCTTTTGTCTTTTCTAGGGATAGCTATGGTTAACTTTTAGATTCAGTCCTTGCACTCTTCTAACAGCAGGTCCTGTCCTTGTTAACAGTATGGGCCAAACTAAATTGAGCTGCTGTTCTGAGGACCACAGAGGAAGTCATTGTTACCATTTTAGTCTTTTCCCTCCATCTTTCCACTTGCCTTTTTTTTTTTTTTAAGCAACCTTTGATGTTGCTAAACATAGATTGTCACCATGTCTTTAGTCATGCACTGGTTGGAGCTAGGGTTGGAGCTGACGGCCTGGGGCAGGTCTGGCTTATTTAATGCTGGGCAGGCAGGTGGGCATCCTGTGCTGAAGATGCCCTCACTCCTGGATGTTGGTGTGTGAACAGCAGACGTGTGCCATTAGCAAGAGGTGTGTCATTCACTGCCAAAAGTGAAGGATGCAATCTGGTTGTTTGGTTCATTCCAGGAAACAGGATGGGCTGCTCTCCCTTAAAACTAGAGCAAATGTGACAATCACCTGAACTCATTGCTTTTCTGTGCCTCTTCCAGTCTCAGTGACTGTTAAGCACCTGAGTCAACAGGGTCCTGCTCCTACCCAGAGCTCCAATGGCTGGCATTTACTATGGTCTGGGAGATGGCAGTGAAAACATTAACAGAGCAAGAGTTCTGGTGCCACAGCTATGGAGTAGCACATTAAGCTGCTACTTTCAATGTCAGTATCCCTAACTGAAAAGGGCCCGTTTGAGCCTTGGCTGCTTCCCTTTCAAACCAGCTCCCTGTTCATGTGCCTGGAAAAGCAGAAGATTGATGGCCCAAGTGCCCTTGTTGGAGACCCAGATGGACTTCCTGCTGCCTGGCTGTAGTGTGGTCATTGAAGGAGGGAAGTGGCAAATGAAAGATCCCTTTGTCTTTCCCTCTCGGTCACTGCCTTTCCGATAAATTAGTAAATAAACCTGGCCCGGTGTGGTAGCCTAGCAGCTAAAGCCCTTGCCTTGCACGTGCTGAGATCCCATATGGGAGCTGGTTCTAATCCCAGAAACCCTGCTTCCCATCCAGTTCCCTGCTTGTGGCCTGGGAAAGCAGTCCAGGACAGCCCAAAGACCCTGCACCTGTGTGGGAGACCCAGAAGAAGCTCCTGGCTTCTGGCTTCAGATTGGCTCAGCTCCGGCTGTTGTGGCCAATTGGGGGAGTGAATCGTCGGACGGAAGATCTTCCTCTCCGTCTCTCCTGCTCTCTGTATATCTGACTTTGTAATAAATAAATAAATAAACCTTTTAAAAAAAATAAGTAACCCTTTAAAAAGAAAAGTAATTCTTTTTAAATTAAAAACCAACAAATCTAGTGCAGTAAGCAACTGTTTATTTATAAAAAAAGGAAAAACAAACAAAACTTTTTAACGATGTCTTATAGATTAAGTAAAAATACCAGTATTAATATATATGTATGTACAGAGTGCATATATATATATACATATGATATAACATCAACATTACATGCTTCTCAGGACAGAATTAGGACGTGTTCCCTCACAGCAACTGAGAACTCTACCACAATTGGAAAGCACAGTTAGGAACGTGGCTTCCTTTATTTTTGGTTTGTCAGACTCCCAAGTGCCAGGAGTTCTCAAACCAGGCCCTACACAGGGAAGCCATGTGCTACGCACAGTGAGCATGGACTGCCACATTCCACACGCGTGGGCTTTTCCGAATCCTCAGCCAGGTCTCCATCACTGTACACCTGGTTGGCCTTCTACCTGAGAGGAGCGGGGAGGAGGAAGCGAGCCAGTCTGCGGTTTCGTGTGGACATGCCACGGACGTTCACGGACAAGAGCTAACTGAAAACATGTCTGTGCCGAGCCACAACACTGGGCAATAAAGCGCCCCCCGGAGGAGGACTCCCTATTCCCCTTTCCTTGCCAAAGGAGACACAGAAATTACCCAAAAAGGGTGGGAGCGGGGAAGAAATGACAACATCACAACAGCAACAAACTCGACCAGGGACGCAGGGTGCAGCACCTGTGGCGGTGACCGGCAGACAGCAGGGAACAGAGAGGTAGCGTCATCTCAAACACACCCTCCTCTGCAAAAGGCACTCACAACTGTCTGTTTATAGATCCTACAGTGGGATTCTGTGTAGGGGAGTCTCTCCTACTAACACAAAACAGATAAGCTGAGGGGAGGCTTAAAAAAACACGCATTCTGGATCCATGTGTGTTTCACTTTTGTCTAAGGGACCATCCACCTAGTAGCCACAAAAAGAAAAAAACAAAACAGTCACTGAAAAGTTGGGAGTTCTGATAAAACCACAGTTAGCAGCCAGGTGTGGAGAGGGTGAGAGCTGCAGGCCCACACAGGAAGAGGAGGTAACAAGCTTTGTGAATGGCCAAAGGGAAGGAGGTGGTCTGCTCTCAGTTGGAAAAACTAGTCACAGCCATGACAGGTGTGGCAGGGGAGGAGGAAGGGGGAGGTAGTGACAGGGCAACAGTGGGCGGGGTGGCCTGGGGAATGGACAGCGGGCAGGGTGGCCTGGGGACATAGGGATGGCAGTGAGAGGACACTGCCCCAGGGAGATGGGCTGCGCCCTCCATCTCGCCCCCTCACTTCTGCGGCCCAAGGAGCCCAAGCAGAGGCTGCCCTCACCGGGACACCACAGAGCTAATGGAATTGTACGACGTGCCACTGTTGCAGCTGGAGGCGTAGGCCTCGGGGCCAGCGCCTTCGAGGTTGACCCTGAACACGGAGGAGGCCTTCAGAAGGAAGTCCGCCGCATCCCGGCGGCCCAGCTCCCTCAGCTTGGACAGGAGCGTGCCCACTGTGCTCTCCGGGAAGGAAGTCCACTCGCGCAGCAGGGCGTGCACCGGGCTGGGGAGGAAGTCCTTGGGAGCCCCGTTATTGGTGTTGTACTTGGCCACGAGGTCGGGAAGGCCCAGGTTCATGGCCAGAAGGCACCAGTCCTTCCCCATGGGGTCGGGCGGGTCCAGCAGACGACTCAGCTTCCTGCGAGTCAGCAGGTTGAGGTCGGACGCATGAATGTCCATGCCCAGGCTGGCCTGCGCATACACATCGTGACACCCGAAGCACGTGATGCTGCTAAAGCTCTCCTTGTAGCCTCCCATGGTATTGGTCAGGGAGGTCTCCCTCAGGGTCTGCGCCCGGAAGAAGTCCCTGGGCTGGTAGATCATGACAGGCTCATGGCGCTCCCGCAGCTGCTGCGGGCTCAGGTAGTGCTTGACGGTGAGCAGCCCGGGCAGCGTGGTGGCCATGACGTTCTCAATGGTGCTGCACACTGAGTCCAGCAGCAGGCAGCATTTGATCTTCTCGGCCTCCAGCCCACGCACCTGCACCTCAATGCCCTGGCCGTGGTTGACCAGCAACACCAGCAGCTCGGCCCCGCGGTGGGTGATCCTGCAGCCGCTCACCCACAGGCGGATGTCAGCATCGCCCTCGGCGCTCTGCTGGTGGATCCAGCGGCACAGGTTCACCTGCACCTTATGAAAGATGCCGCAGGGGAAGGGCGTAAGGTGCTCTACAGGGACCACGCGCACACCGCCATATACCATCACCTCATCCTCATCGTCCGTCCAGGAGCGCTGCAGGCTGTCCGTCTTGATCAGGGCAGGGACGTCTACCATGGTCCCGCTGCTCAGGTCCCGGGCACAGATGTCCATGGCGTCCAGGATCTGCAGCAACTCCTCCACGTCGCTGTCGGGCACCAGGCGCTGGATGTCCTCCATGGTGTAGCGGCCGCGGTAGTGGTGCAGGGCCCGGGGCGTCTCCACCGACAGCAGCTTCCCCAGGACGTTGGTGCAGAGCCAGCGGGGGTCCAGGAGCAGGACATCCTGGACTGTTTCACTCTGCATGATGTTGATCTGCCGTTAAGGACAACACAGGTCAGTGTGGAGCTGAATCCTGCCAAGTGTACCTGCCCATGGAATGGCCAGCTTCCAGCACAAAGAATGACCTCCATGACTCAAGTGGACACATTTTGAAAACTAAACTGGGTTTGAGAGTGTTAGAACAGAGCTGTGACAGACAACGTCACTGAACTCATGAATGCCAATGGGGGACAAACATTTGGCCCAGGGGGTAAGAGACATGTCAAAATGCCTGCATCTCATTTTGAGGCAGCTGAATTCAGTTCCTGGCTCTGTTTCCCATTCTAGCTTCTTGCTAACATAGACCCAGGGATGCTGTGGTGAGAATTCAACAAGCTGGGTCTCTGCCACATCCACACAGGAGACTCGAACGGTGTTCTGGGCTCCCAGCTTTGGCCCGGCCCGGCCCCTGCCACTGGGAACATGGTGGGAATCAACTGGCAGGTGGGAGCTTTGGCTCTGTGTCTCTCTCAGAGAAATACATGAACATTTACACCAGAGTCAACATAAGGAATTAGCAAGAATAAATAACTGAATAGAAGACAGCTGTATGTTCATGTCTCATAATATACCAACTTGAATGCCAGAATGCGACTCTCAACTATTTTGAGTTACATGGAAAGATTCTCCTTAGGAGATACAGGCCAAATAATTGAGGAGTGACATATCACAGGACCTGCATGGTAAGTAAGGAAATAAATCGAATAAAGAAGACTCAAGGAAATCGATCAAAATGCAAGTAGTCAACTCTCCTGCTGTGATAGCTGAGGAGGTTTCAATGGCACCATGCTTGTAACCTCTCCAAAGGCTTGAATATTTTCAAACCAAGATGTGTGATGATGACACCAGTGTGCAGATCATCACACCAGATGGCCCAGGGTGAGGAGAGAGGAGTGAAGCTGGAGGCGACGACCAACAGAGGAGACTCCAGATGTCTCGGTCCTGTTCCTTGAAACCAGAAAAGTTTGCCACCAAAAGACGAGTCTCCCCTCTCTCTTCTGTATGGAAGCTGAGTGGAGGAGAATGAGGAATGGGAAAGGCTGAGGAACAGGTACTGTGTTTCAAGGAAAAAGGAATTCCGGTGTTTGTGGCAGTACACATCAGGGTGATGACAGGTAAGGATAATATGCTGTGTACTTTCTCTTAAAGGAGCTACAAGAAAGGATTTTGAAGGTTTTCACTGTAAAGCAAGGGTCAACTGCTGAGCTCAACCTGATTGGAACATTACCCAGGGCTAGTAGGAACTGAAATACCACATGACCTGGAAGGACCCAAGTATCAAAAAGGCAGCACTTGGAAACAACAACAGAGTGTGAACAACAGTAGCACCTTTCCCTTAGGAGGAAGTTACTTCCTTCTCCTCCCTCCCTAGGCTGGGTCTATGAGGACAGGTGGTCCGAGGTAGGCTCAAAGTTGGCCCTTGGTCCGCCCTTGAGGATGCCTCTGGTACAGGAGTCTGCTTAAATGTGTCAAACAGCCACTTGCACTGCCAACATCCCTTACAGATGCTAGTCTGAATCCTGGCTGCTCCACTTCTGATCCAGCTCATTGTTTGTGTGCATGGGAAAGCAGCCAAGGATGGTCCAGGTGCTTGGGTACCTGAACTTGCATGGGAGATCCAGATGAGGCTCCTGGCTTTAGACTGGCAGCCAGCAGATTAGCCAGTGCTTGAATTGGGGTTTTAAAGGCTGACAAGACCACTGCTCTGGCTCCAGTTTTCAAGGTCCCTGGTTTCTGGATTCAATGTTAGTTTAAAGACTATGACTTGTGGCAGGACTGTGGTGCAAGCAGGGTGAGTCGTATCCCATGTCAGAGCACCAGTTCAAGTCCTGGCTGCCATTTCTGATGCAATTCTAGGCTGTTGTAGCTACGAGGGCAGTGGATAATTGTCCAAGTATTGGGCACCCTGCCACCCAGGTGGGAAACCTGCAAGGCGTTCCAGGCTCCTGATTTTACACCTGGCGCAGCCCTGGATTTTGAAGCCATAAGGAGAGGGAATCAGAGGATAAAAGACTTCTCTGTTTTCTCATCTCTCTCTAAGAGGCAGATGAGATTTACAGAGAGAAGGAGAGACAGAGAGCTAGACCCTCCATCTGCTGGTTTACTCCTCAAAGAGCTGCAATGGCAGGAGTTAATCCAATCTGGAGCTAGGAGCCAGGAGCTTTTTCTCGGTCTTCCATGTGGGTGCAGGGTTGAAAGGCTTTGGGCCACGCTTTACTGCTTTCCCAGGCCATAAAGCCAGGAGCTGGAGGGGAAGCAGAGCAGCCTGGAGATGAACTGGCAATATTAGGAGAACCTGGCTTATAAGGTAAGGATTTAGCTGTTGAGCCAACGTGCTAGGTCCATGTCATTTTCAAATAAACTATATATACTTATATATAATACATAAAAGTATGTATATATAAAGTTGTGTAAACCACATCCCAGCTCTGGCTGTCTCACATTCAACAGCAAAGATCCCTGCCTTTGGTCATTCCTGCCTTTGGCGGGCTCTGCTTGCTGAGCCGTGTACCTCTCTGTCTGAGCACGGCTACTCTGACTTGGCATCTCCAGACAGCACCCTAGGGTGAGGACAAGGAGTCTGTCTTTGGAGCTGGTCCCTCTGAGTCCTGGGAGAAGGCTGCAGAAGCGCCTGGAAGCACAAGGAGAGTAGGCAGAGACCCAGGCACCCATGACAAGGCTCCCTGCCCTTTGTCAGCAGAATCTGGAGAACAGAAGCAAAATCATCAAGCAGCAGCTCCTTGGATAAACAGGAGAGCAGAGAGCTCAGAGCAGTCACCTGGGCTTACGTGCAATGGCCATGCATCTGGAAACATTAGGGGCTACTGAATCTTTTCTGCTCTGCCCCCTCCTGGAGCTGGAGCATGGAGACCCCCTGACAGCCCTTACCTCGCCAGTGCTGTGCAGCTGCTGGGCAATGCGCCTGAGGTCCTCCTCGCTGGCCAGGGGGTTCAGCTGGTCCTGCACGTCATACACAAACTGCTGCAGTGACATCAGCTGGTTGGGCCCGTTGAGCTTCCTCCAGGAAGGCAGCGTGGAGATGATCTTCTCACACAGGTGGGTCATGGGAGGGCAGCCCTGAAACATGCAGGGTGACATAGTTAAACGTTTGCAGCTGGGGGTGCTCCACAGTGACCGAGTCGGCTGGGCAGCTGAAGGTGGAGCTAGGAATCCAGCTGCTTAAGAATGTTGGAGTCAGGCATTCCAGCATGTGACGCAGGCATCTTAACCACGTGGCCAGATGTGCGCCTCCAAGCAGAATCCATTTGTCACATCTCAAGCTAGCTGGAAGCTCCTGAGTTCGACCCACCATGCTAAATGGAAGGTGAGTCTTCACAGAAATGCCCATTGTGGGCTCAATCGCTCCTGCTGCCCAGCTCCTAAAGCTTGACTCACTCCTTCCTTCACTTTCTCCCTCATCTGCTACTTCACCACCTCACTGTGAGGTGACTTTCAGTGGCGAAAAGCAGATACTTAATGAGAGAGGGGAAAAGGGCAGGGCATCATTACAACATCGCAGTGGATCAGAAAGTGAGGGATTCATGAGGACTGTGGGGAAATGCTATTTCAAACTAAACCCCTGGAATGGGCTTTTTACCTTTTCAGGGGGTTAAATAAGCCTATCAGACCAACGTAACCAATGCACTTTCCTAACCAGAGCACAAGCACTGCTCTGCAATAGCTCAGTGCATGTTCTATTCGCCAAATTCTCCTTCCTTCCCCAAACACAAAAACTCCCAGGAATGAAGGCCGCCTCCTGGGGGGCTCCAGCTGCCTAACTCTGGAAGTGGGGACAAGAAGTTTGGGTTACAGGCGGTAGGATGCCAGCTCAGCCCAGCAACCTTCCAGAACCAGAGCTGCCTGGTGAGCTGGGGCCCTAATGCAGCGCCCAGGAGACATGCCTGTCCTCTCTCCTGTCCCAGCTCAGTTCCCATCCTCCCTGTGACCACATGGCTCTGACCTCTGCCCACTGGCTGTGTACCCAGATGACATCTGATGTGCCACAACCAGGTTTTCCAGAGAAAGCAGTTTCCTGAGGATCTAGAAGCAGCCCTGGAGTCAGCACCAGGTGTGGAAGGAGCAGGTTTGGCAGGAGACAGACCAGCAGGTGGCGCCACTGCCAGGAGGAACGGCAGGAAGAGCTGGGTTTTTCTGGCTTGGTGTGTGCGTCTGCATGCTGAGCACCCTGGGAGTACTATGACAGCACCCTTCATCAGTCTAATACACCGAGAAGTTCTTCCAAGAATATTTTCTCCCTTTTACTCTGTTAATGGGTAAATTTCCCAAAGAAACATTCAAAGTGTACATGTCGTCAAATAAGTTGGCTTTCTGTGAAAAATGTTTCTTGGTTTTCTGTCTTGGTTAAAAGGTTTCATGAATCCTAGATTAGCTTAAAAGACACATTTTCCTAAACTTCTATTCATTACATTCATTTATTTATTTGTTTTCCATTTGAAATCGGATTCATACACCTGTCATCCAAGAAAGCAGTCTATGACTTTATATTATTTGACCAGCTTGGTAAGTGATGGTTTTTTTTTTTAACTTTTCTGAGTTTTTGAAATACTCCACAGTAACTCATTCTTCTGAATTGCTTTCTAATTTGTACAAAGAACTTAATTTCTAAACAAACTCTGAAAATGCGAAGTACTTTGCCCTTTGCTTTTTACCATCTTCTTGTTTCTCTGTCCCTCCTGTCTCCTCCCAAAGCAATAGGATAACAGCAGGTACATGGCCATCGTGTCCTGGACCCATGGTGAAACTGTCCCCTGACAATCATATTAAGGCAGCAGAGAGAGGCCCACCTCCCCAGCTCAGTGATGGCTTTGGCCGCGGTTGGGCCAGGCTCCCACCAGGGTAGACTCACGGAAATGATCTGGCTCCGAATTTCTTGTAGGTGATTCCGAAGGACCTTGATGTCCTTAGAGCCAGAAGCCCCAGCATCCAGAACAAAGAGTTTATTTGAAATCTGAAGGTCGTTCCCGAACCTAGAGGAAGAGTAGTACGTCAGTCCCACCAGGTATTTCTTGCAGAGGTCAAGCCCCTGCTGCTGGCCCTTCGAGGCAGGGCAGGACCTTGTCAAGGCCCCTCCAGGGCCCCTGCTGCAGGCAGACTTGGCCTCAGCACTCTGGGTCCGAGTCTTAGCAATGGGGGCTCCAGGATCCCTTAATGCAGTAGGGGCAGGTGTCAACTTCTGCTGGTAGAGGGAAAAGGAGGCAGAATGCTTGCACCATAAAACACCAGAGGTATGATTCCAAAGTCACACCGCCAGTCTGAAAACATCAGCAGAAGTCCCATCTCCATACCAGGAAGTCAAGAGACAGGTGTTTCCCAACTACAGTCTAAGAATTAAGTTATCAGCATCTTGTAGGGAGCTACAGGTGGAAACTGGCAGACTCTGCTATGGTTTAGATGTGGTTTCCCAGGGTTCATGTGTTGGAGGCGTGGTCCTCAGAATGCTCAGAGGGAGGTGGGGGCACCTGCAAAAAATGGGACCTAGTGGGAGCTACCTGAGGTCACTGGGTGCTCTGCCTTCAGAAGGGACTCACGTAGGTTCCAGGGGACCTCAGTTCATTCTCTCAAGGGAGTTGTTATGAAGGACAAACCCCGAGCTCTGCCTGGATGTGACACAGCTGAGGGGGGCCCTCCCCGGCATTGAGCTCACTGCACTTGCTGTCTCCAAAACTATCAGCTACATAAAGCTTTGTCTTCTAAGTCACTCAGGTATCCAGCTACAACAATGGGAAACAGACTAATAACATAATAGTTCAAAACACATGTCTGACATCTGTCCCCGTACACACATCCTTCCTAAGTAAAACCAAAGTTTCACCAATAACACCTGCCACAAACATACTCCGATTCAGTCCATTCCATTCCATCCCCCTGTGGAAAGGGTTGCTCACTATCCTCCACAGTTTCATGATTCTCTAGTGGGTACTCTGTACAGGGTGAGAAAGTACCAGCTAATGTGACAGTGAAGATTACAGCGCAAGTGAGAATTACAACAAGGAAGCCGTCATGGAGTGGCTGTGTCAGCATGGTAGGCCAGAGCTACAGGGATTGCCAGGGGATTGTTAGGGGATCCCTAGGGGATCACTAAGGAATCACACTAAAGGATTACTAGGGTATCACTAGATCGCCAGATGATCACTGACAAATCACTAGGGGATCACTAGGAGATCGCTAGGGGATCACCACGAGACCGCCATGGGATTGCTAAGGCATCACACTAAAGGATCGCTAGGGGATCACCAGGGGATTGCCATGAGAACACTAAGGAATCGGTAGGGGATTGCTAGGGGTCACTAGGGGATCACCATGGGATTGCTAAGGGATCACACTAAAGGATCATTAGGGGATCACTAGGGGACCGCCATGGGATTGCTAAGGCATTACACTAAAGGATCGCTAGGGGATCACTAGGGGATTGCCATGAGATCACTAAGGAATCCGTAGAGGATCACTGGGGGATTGCTAGGGGATCATTAAGGGATCACTAAGGGATCAGTGCTGTCTGCCTTGCTGCTATTCTTATTTGTGTTTCTCACTGTTACATGCAAAGTAAAACATGATGAAGCACCAACCAAGGGAGACATGCCTTTCATTTCCCTCTCTGGCTCACAGGCTATACACACACATGTATGTGTGTGTGTTATTGCTGTTTTAAAACTTATCTGGTTTTCTTCCCAAAGGCTCACAGCAATTAATTCCCGGCGGCAGCCAAAGCTTCTCCTGTGCTCGGCAGGAATTCCCCTACTTGGGCCATCACCGCTGCCTCCCAGTGCGCACATCAGCAGGAAAAGCTGGATCAGGAGCTGGAGCTGGAACTCAAACTCAGGTGCTCTGATACGGTATGTGAGAATATTGATTTTCCTTTCTGAGGGTAGGAAGAACCAGCAGCCACCTCTCACCTGTTTCTGATCTCTTTGAGCAATGATGTGTCTTTGTCATATCCAAACTCGCCTCCTGCTGGCCGAGGGACATTCATGATGTCAGCATGCGTGGCCACCAGGATGACGCGCAGTGGGTTCTTCAGCTTGCCGCCAAAGGCTAGGGACAGAAAGGGAACCACATTAGCGGACAGCTCCTCTTACCTGGCTGACAGCCCTGCCCAGGTGAGGGGCATGGGAGCCTCGTGCCTTGATTGGCTCTCCTGGTAGAGGTTCAGTCTATCAGGACCCCATGCTTGCTATGGCCTGTGGCCTGTGCAAGGACCCTGACCCAGGCCCAGGCAACAGCTGGGTGGGTCCACTCCTGGGCTGTGAGGAGGCCTGCTCGGGAGTGTAGTAAAAGCAGCAACAAAAGCATCTTCTCAAACTTCCTCCAAGGAGCAGGGTAGGGATCCAACCTCTGACAATGGAGGAATCCTGGATGAGAATGAAGGGAGCCCCCAAGATGCAGCATCTCCGTGGAGATGGCTCAGACAGGCTGCTGGCTGCTCCTGCCAGCACTGAAAAGGAGCAGGGCAGAGAAGCTGGCAGTGCCAAGAGAAACACCAGGCCCATCATCAGAGAGCTTTCTACAAAACAGTTGTGGCTGTGGATTATGGCCGTCAGCAGGGAAGGATGTCTCTCCCTGGCCACTTTTTAAAAGATTTATTTATTTAGGCCTGGCGCTATGGCTCATCCTCTCCTTGCATGTGCCGGGATCACATATGGGCACTGGTTCGTGTCCCGGCTGCTCTACTTCCTATCCAGCTGTTTATGGCCTGGCAAAGTAGTGGAGGATGATCTAAGTCCTTGGGACTCTGTACCCACTTGTGAGACCCCAAAGAAGTTCCTGGCTCTTGGCTTTGGACTGGTTCAGCTCCTGCTTTTGTGGCCATTTGGGGAGCGAACCAGTGCATAGATCTTTCTCTCTGTCTCTCGTTTCTGTAAATCTGCCTTTCCATAAAAAATAAATATATATTTATTTGGAAGGCAGATTTATGTGGGTATTTTAGGGGGAGTGATAGAGACATACCTTCCATTTCCTGGTTCACTACTGAAATGGTTGCAACAGCTAGGGCTGGGCCAGGCCTTAAGCCAAGAGCTCAGAATTCCCTCTTCTACACGGGGGCAGGAGCCGGAGCACCTGGGCTATCTTCCACTGCCTTCTCAGGCACATTAGCAGGGAGCTGGATCAGAAGTGGAACAGCAGGGATGTGCCCCTGTGCTGAGGTGGGATGGCCACATCGTAGGCTACGGGTTAAACGCTGTGCCCAATGCCGGATCCAGGCTGCATGTCTTGCTTACACTGAGAACAAAATGAGTTTCTGCAAGGCTATTCTGTCCCCTAGAATTAAGTGAGGATACTGCCATCTGTCCACTTAGGCTTTTAGTCAGTCCCTGCAGGGTTAAAGGGGGTCGTGGGGAAAGGCAGAGGCTGTACCCACCACAGCGATGGCCATTGCTCTACAGTGCAGGGAAAGTGGCAAAGAGTTCTCAAGGAACTTTCAGAACTGGTTGGCTGAGGCAATGTCACGTGACCAAAAACAGACACTCCCTGTAGGCCACCACAGGCAACAGAGCTGGGAAGCCACCTGTAGTCAGCATGGAGGAGAAGGGAAGGGAGCTGTAAGGGGGTCCCATGGTTGGGCCGCAGGGTGGGCCGGAGGGGGTCAGGGGCTGAGCTACAGGGTGGGCCTGAGGGGTCCAGGGTTGGGCTGTATAGACAGATGCTGCAGGAAGAGACCGGTTCTGGTCAGTCCAAGTCAGGAGGGTATGTGCTCTCCCAACCCTGGCAGCCCCGCTTACCGATGGGCTCCTCCACTGGCACCAGAGACTTCAGGAAGCTGAGCCAGAAAATCACTTGGTTGAGCTGGATTTCATAGGGCTCCTCCAGACTGAAAACCACGATGTGGATGGACGTGGGGTCATTCGCGGCAAAGTAGTCATAGCAGCAGAAGTATACGGGGTTCCCAGAGAACTCCCACACGCTGAAGTCCCCGACGCCTGCAGAATGAAAGCAAAGGAAGCTCCCCATAGCCAGCGGCCACCCCAAAGCCTCCCCACGGCCCTCACCTGAGAGATCCGAGCTGGGAGAGCCCTGTCTGTGCCATAGCCTTTCCCTACATCTACGTCACGCATGCCAAAGCCCGCTTCTCTCCGTCAGCACCAGCTGGTCTCTCCACAGTACCTTTATTCTTCTTTCAAAGCGTATTTTCACTTGAAATGCAGATTTTACAGAGAGGAGAGAGAAGTCCAGCTGCTGGTTAACTCCCCGAATGGATGCAATGACTGGAGCTGAACCAATCTGAAGCCAGAAGCTTGTACTAGATCTCCTACATAGGTGCGGGGGTCCAAAGCTGCAGGCCGTCCCCCACTGTTTCCCAGGCCATAAACAGAGAGGTAGATCAGAAATGGGGCAGCTGAGACGCAAGCTGGTGCAAATATGTGATGCTGGCATTATAGATGGAGACTTCACCTATTAAGTCAAGGTATTCCAATACCTTTATTCTTACCCCCTGTATCAACGTCACATCTACTTACACCTTGATGGCAAGTGCACAGGCATATTCAGTCTCCTTTTTTAATCTTCCTTAGAAATTGGCAGATTGGGCCCAGTGTGATAGCCTTGTGGCTAAAGTTCTCCCCTTGCATGCACAGGGATCCTATAGGAGCACTGGTTTGTATCCTGAAGGCTCCACTTCCCATCCAGCTCCCTGCTTGTGACCTGGGAAAGCAGTCGAGGATAGTCCAAAACCTTGGAACCCTGCACCTGTGTGGGAGATCTGGAACAGGCTCCTGGCTTCAGATGGGCTCAGCTCTGGCTGTTGAGGCCACTTGGAGAGTGAATCATCAGAAGATCTCTGTCTTTCTTCCTCTCTGTATATCTGATTTTCCACTTATAAATCTTAAAAAAATATATGTATATAGCAAATAAGGGATCAGCATGGTAGCCTAGAGGCTAAATCCTCGGCTTGCAAGTGCCGGGATCCCATATGGGTGCCAGTTTGTGTCCTGGCTGCTCCACTTTCCATCCAGCTCCCTGCTTAAGGCCTAGGAAAACAGTGGAGGATGACCCGAGGCCTTGGGACTCTGTATCTACATAAGAAATCTGAAAGAAGCTCCTGGCTGCTGGTTTTGAGTGGCTCACAGCTCTGGCCATTGTGATCACTTGGGGAGTGAACCAGCAGATGGATTTTTCTCTCCATCTCTCTGTAAATCTGCCTTTCTAATAAAAATAAATCTTAAAAAAAAAAAAAAGAAATAAGAAAAAAGAAAGAAAAAGCAACTTGCAGATAAGACCTTGAGCCCTGCTTTGGGAAAAGGATCCACCGTGTCAGACAACACAACAGGCCTGAGCACCCACATTTACCATCTTAGATACACATGCCTCATCCCACCTTTACCTACAGATTGGGGGCCGAACTGCCCACTATGTCCCCCTGTTGTGGAGAGGAGCAACTGGGAGAATGGACATTAAAAGTCTGCAGCCGAGGCTCTAGAGACCCATGCCCACGCAGGGTGCACACCATACCAGACTTGGGCTTGAGACAGTGTGCGCCCGACTGGGTTGTCTGGTCATGAGCTGATAATTCCTTTTTCCTGTTCTGCCACTGTATCATAGGAATATACTTGGTTCCAGTCTGGTCTGCCCCAAGGGCTTCTGCTGGGTCCCTACGGACGTATTAAGAAGTGGTAGGGGCTGGCATTGTGGCATCGAGGGCAAAGCTGCCACTGCGATGCCAGCATCCCGGTAAGCACTGGTTTAAGACCCAGCTGCTCCACTTCTGACTCAGTTCCCCGCTAATGGCCTGGGAGAGCAGCAGAGAATGATCCAAGTCCTTGGGCCTCTGCACCCGTGTGGGAGACTCAGAAGAAGCTCCTGGCTTTGGCCTGGCCAGCCTGGGCTAACTGCAGCTATCAGAGGAGTGAGCCAATGGATAGGAGACCTCTTTTTCTTTTCTCTCCTCTCTCTATAACTTTGCCTTTCTAGCAAAAACATCTTTAAAAAAAAAGAGGAAAAGAAATTACGCCACACACCTAGCAAGGAGTGGTTCTGAGGTTGGAATACAGGTACTTAATTTCAAATTATACGTTGGCATGGCTCTAACTGCTTCTTACTGAGGAGGGGGCCAGCAATTTGCAGACCAGTAGGGAAGACACCTGGGCTTCCTGGATCAAGTCCGCCTTTCCTGGGGAGCAGCGCCCTAGCCTTGGAACACACTGACTTTGGACCTGCAGGAGCCGGCCCTGTCTCGGGATGGATCAATAACATGCCTAACCTCCCACCGACCACAACTCTACCAGCGACTGCTCTGTCTTCAGGTCTACTTTCACAAAAGCAGCCCTATCCTAGGCACCTAACTGGCTGCCAGGTGCCCCCCTAGGTGCTGAAAACACCCTAGGGTTGACTTTATTTTACTCTGTAGGGGTGCCAGCCAGCCTCCCTTCATCCTGGGCAGTCAGCATGGGCTTCATTTCCTTGTGGGTGTGATGGGCACCCCAAAGCACAAGCTCCCTCTGGGGAATGACTGGCATCTCTGTGGTGGGAAAGAGGGTGCTGGGCAAGCTTAGGTCTCTCCTGTGGGCTGGGGGGTGAGGGGCGGGAAAGCTGGCACATACCATTCAGATAGGCGTTCTGGATGTCAATGGCCTTGGTGGACTGGTCATCAGCTGAGCAGTGCGGGTGGTGGGAGGGGGCGACGAACACCTCCAGCACGCCCTTGGTGAGGCCCGGCTCAAACATCATGCTGCGGCTCCTCACGCTCACGTTCTCACAGCCTGGGTACAGGTTGTTGATGCTCACAGATACTGAGGACCAGAAAGGAAGGGGTGAGGCTGGGCAGAGACACCTGTAGGGTGGGTGTAGGCAGGGCCTGGGCCCACCTCCCCCACCCCAGTTAAGCCCAGCTGGAGCTGTGTCCTGCCCTCCAGGGTGCTGTTTGGACAAGCTCTGCGTGGCTTTCTGCTCATGTCACCCCTGTATTGGCCCTGGGCAGCTGGGCCGCAACCGTGCCTGCCCTTGGTTCCTGCTTTGGGGGAAGCCCGTGGAGGCACAGGGCTGGGTGGGAAGAGAGAAGGGCAGGCACATTGCTCTCCTCGTCCCTTCCTTCCTTCGGCCTCTCCGATCCCAGCTCTTGCTGAATGGCTTTTCCCAGGAGTGCTACCTTCCTCCACTCCTCGCCCCAGGGAGTGTTCACTGTCCATGTCCATTGTCCATGCTTGTCCCTTGTCCACGGGGGCTTCGCTGTTGTCTCCATGCTACCTTGACTCTGACTAGGGATTGAAGCCCCCTGCGTGTATCTGCCACCAGTGGGGCTGGACAGGGAAACAGCTCAGCACCACTTGCAGACTGCAGTTGACTTGAGAGTGGGTACAAAGTGATTTAAGCCCTAATAATATGGATTCAACCACACTGGAACCCAAAGCAAGAAAGTGGCTCCTTTAAGACAAATATACATGGAAGCTATGCAGCAGCTGTAGCCACCACTGTTTATGGCACGAAGACTTCAGCAGGTGTGTGCTCTGGGCTCATCTTCCCTTTGAGAGAGCAGGTGGGCAGGGCGCACACCGGGATTGCAATCTCACTGTGTTTATGACTTATGGTAAGTTTTCCATTTATGGTGAGGACAAGAGGGATTTCATGTTCAACTTGCTGTATTCTAGTTGTTGTAAAAATAGTTGATACCGAGCAGCTGCTAAGAGTCCAGGTGGAACCTGTGAGCATGTGGGCGAAAGCAGCTTCCTCGCTATCCTAACTGCCTGGCGCGTGCCCCGGCCCGCAGCCCTGGCGCGGGCACAGCCACCAGTCTACTCTAAGGGTGTGACTCAGCTCCTGGCCCAAAGCAGGTGCTCCGTTAGGAGCTGGTCAATGATGGCGCATCGGGGATGGGTTCAGGAGCTGAAACACGTCCTGTGACACATGCTGCAAGGTGGCAAACGACCATTTCACCCGGGCAAGGTGACATTTAAAAGTGGTGATGGAAACTGTAGATGGCCCGTTTCCACACCAGCGACAGCCAGGACACCTGGGCCAGCTCAGGGACAAGCCCGCTGAGGCTGACTCGGACAGCTGCTCTACGGACATGGCTTAGGAAACACTTCAAAGGTCTTCGTTGGTTTTCAAAACAAATTCCCTCCTTCTTCAGCGGTCCCAGGAAGATAAGACTCCCAAGATGCCAAGACTGCAGAGCTGGTCCCTGCCCACAGAGGGGGTTTCCTGACTGGGAGGGCTGAACATGCACCACTGATAGAACCCCGGGGTGCGGCCTGGGTATGCTGTGACTGGGTGCATGCAGCGATCCAGGGTGCAGCAGATGGGTGGTCCCTCCCACGGCCGGTCTCTGCTCTGTGCTGGGCTTGGCACACACAATCAAGGGCAGAGCACACAGCCAAGGACAAGCTGGCACTCACACCCTTAGTGCAACAGACCCGTGTTGGTGACTGGGTTAGTGAGGCCCTTCTGGCACTATAGGGGACAGTCTGGGATCTGCTCAGATGCAGGCCAAGACACAGAGGGAAATAACCCCTCCTGCGGGAGACAGCTGGCCTGGGGCTCCTACCTGCCGGCTTGTTGGCCAGGGGTGAGGGTGGGAAGCGGACAGAGTTGGTGGAGGACAGCCTGGGCCGGCGCCTTCGGAAGAAGCTTCGGAGCAGCCCACACTTGAGAGACTCCACGAGTGTGGTCTTCCCGGCCCCTGAGTGGCCGAACAGCTTCAGCTTGATCCTGGGCTGCAGGTTCTGTGTGGGCCGTAGCTGCTGGACGAAAAGCCCACGGTGCGTGTCCTGTGTGGGAAGAGACAAGAGTTCATCCATCAGGGTGTGGAGAGGGCCCAGGGCACAATGCAGGGTCACACCCCTGCCCAGGGCTGCAACTGACACCAAAGTCACCATTTCAGACCGTACAAGCCACAGACCTTCAGTGCATTCCAATGTCATAAACCATGACTGCAGTGTGGTTCCAGAGCACTTCCAGCCCTGCCCTGCAAAGCCAACTTCCACCAGCAAGCAGAGACTTCAACCTGCCTCAATTCCTGGCAGCCTCAGACACAATCTCACACTGTTGCAAATGAGAGGACTTTATTCCTTGTTATAGCTTGGGAGTAGTAATTCCACTGTGTTAGCGTGGGAAATAGCCAGACTTTGGGCTCGTGAAATAATTTCTTTTTTTTTTTTTTAAAGATTTATTTATTTATTGGAAAGTCAGATATACAGAGAGGAGAAGAGACAGAAAGGAAGATCTTCTGTTCAATGATTCACTCCCCAAGTGGCCACAATGGCCAGTGCTATGCCAATCTGAAGCCAGGAGCCAGGAAACTCTTCTGGGTCTCCCACGCGGGTGCAGGGTCCCAAAGCTTTTTGGGCTGTCCTGGACTGCTTTCCTAGGTCACAAGCAGGGAGCTGGATGGGAAGTGGAGCTGCTGGGATTAGAACCGGCGCCCATATGGGATCCTGGCGTGTTCAAGGCAAGGACTTTAGCCGCTAGGCCATGCCGCTGGGCCCTTGTGAAATAATTTCATCTGGCTCTACCAAGGCATCAGCAAGCAGAATTCAAAATTCAATCAATCTACAGCAGGTTAAGTTTTTAAAGATTTCATTTATTTGAAAGGCAGAGTTACAGAGTGAAAGAAAGAGATAGAGAGAGAATCTTCCGTCTGGTGGTTCACCTCCCAGTTGGCTGCTCAGGCCAAAGCCGGGAGCTTCATCTAGGTCGCAGCAGGTACAGGCCTTCAGCTCTTGGACCAGCCTTTGCTGCTTTTCCAGGCACATCAGCAGGAAGCTGGATTGGAAGTGGATATGCTGATCATGTTGTACGGTCCATGAATTTTGTTTTCAATCTTCAAATGGTCCTTGGCAGAAAAAAGGCTCCCCATCCCAGGACATGGGCCACATTTCCATCGGTGGATGGACACTTGGCTTCTTTCTGTTTCTGGGCCATGATGACCCAGGGCTGCAGCAACCATGGGAGGGAGGGCCCACCTCTCTCCGGCAGATTCCATTTCCTTTGGACAGCTGGAGACCAGGACGCTCTGGAGAAGCCGCCACACAGCTTCCTGCAGTGGCTACGCTAACCTGCATCCCCTGCCCACAGTGCGCAGCGACGCTTACAGGATGAGTGGGCGCTCACTGTGTCTTCATCGGCACGCCCTGACGATGAGCAGTGCTGTGCTTGGTTTCCCACACCTGCTGGCATGTGCGTGTCCTCCTTTGTGGAATGTCTGCTCTGCTCGGTTATCCATTCTATAATTATGTGTTCCGGTGGCACTGTGTCACTTCCTCATAGAGTTTGGCTGTCAGCAACCAATCAGATACTGAATTTGCAAGCCATTCTCTACCATTCTGTCAGCCAGCTCCTCACTCAGCTGTTTCCCTCACTGTCAGGGAGGCTTTCAGTTGGACGAAATCTTGTGAGTCTATTTTGCTTTTGTTTCCTCTACTTTTGGAGTCTTAGTCAAAACATCCTTGGGCCTGGCGCAATAGTGTAATGGTTAAGGTCCTTGCCTTGAACTCACTAGGATCCCATATGGACGCAGGTTTTAATCCCGGCAGCTCCACTTCCCATCCAGCTCCCTGCTTGTGACCTGGGAAAGCAGTCCAGGATGGCCCAAAGCTTTGGGACCCTGCACCCGTGTGGGACACCTGGAAGAAGTTCCTGGATCCTGGCTTCTGATCGGCACAGCACCGGCCATTACACTCATTTGGGGAGTGAATCATTGGATGGAAGATCTTCCTTTCTGTCTCTTCTCCTCTCTGTATATCTGACTTTCCAATAAATAAATAAATCTTTAAAAAAAATCCTTGCCCATTCCCCTATCTCTAATCCATTTTGAAATGTTCTGATACATGGTGAAAGAGAGGGGTCCAGGTTCACTCTTTCGTGCATACATGTCTAATTTCCTCAGCGTAGTTTACTGAAAAAACTTTTTCCCAGTGCGCATGCGTCAAAGATCAGGTGGTGGCTGCTGATGCAAGGGGTGACTTCCACAGCTTCTAGTCAAGCAGCCTTTGGATCCCCCGGCTCCAGGTGCTGTGGCTGAGGTTAAGTTCTTCCCTATGGGATTTCAGAATCCCGTGGACACCTGCTCAAGGCCGTTCACGCACCAGGTGAGGATGCCCTTCTCCTCCCCTTCATAAAGTGTTTTTTCCTGCTAGTGGGCTACGGCAGAGACCTAGCAGTGAGCAGCCTGTTCCTGTGGAGCCCCTGGACAGAGCAAACCCCCTGGTCATTGCACCATGGGTGCGTCTCACTGCAGAGATGAAGCAAAGCAGCCCCCTTTGCTGCACAGGCTGGCAAGGAACCCACGACTCTGCGCCCAGACGCACGGCCCATGCTGCACTATACAGCCAGCCCCATGGGCTGCAAACAGGCCCGGGAAGTGTTTGGCTGGGTGGATTCATTGCTTCAAAGAAAAACTTATCAGGAAGCCTGATACTGAAGTTTTTCATTAACTGCCAATCATAACTGTGAGCCTTGTTATGACCGTCGCTTCATCTACTTCAGACTCTCATTCATAAAAGCACAATCAGCTTCCCCGATTCCCACGTGAACACGAGAATTACTCCGGCAAAGTTCTTCCAGATTGTCTGTCTCTCTCCCCTCATTTGACAACAAAGAGGAGAAGGAGTCCCTCCAGGGCCTGGGAGGTCTCAGTGCCAGGCACCATCTGACCTGTGCCATCTTGGCCAGGTGACAGCATCTAGGCACAAGGGCATGACACGGCATCACCTTTGCCATCTCCAACCAGCAGGTCCCTGTCGAGGGTCTCCGCCTGCACACGCATTGGGACAGCTAGGGCTCTCTGTGTATGCTGTACAAGGAACAAAACTCTCCCAGGGTGTGTGCCTGAACCATGGACAACCGCGAGAATTCAAGCTCCCAGGGCCTGGGACAGGTCAGACATCCTCTGTCCTTATGTGTTCAGTCTGACAGCACCTGCATACAGGTGCACCTGTCTACCCGGAGCACGCTGAGGACCCCACCTTTCCAACAGGTACTCGGACCAACTCAGCTACCTTTTTTATTTCTAGCAAATCTGGCTGTTGGAAATGTGACATGATTTATAGGAAATATAGGAAAATGCAGAATTTTTAAAAAGAAGAAAATGTTAATGACTTCCAACAGAAAAATAAAAACAAAAAGGCCTGGCCAGGACCCAGTGTGATAGCCTGGCTGCTGAAGTCCTCGCCTTCAATGTGCTGCGATCCCATATGGGCGCCGGTTCTAATCCCGGCAGCTCCACTTCCCATCTAGCTCTCTGCTTGTGACCTGGGAAAGCAGTCCAGGATAGCCCAAAGCCTTGGGACCTTGCACCCGTGTGGGAGACCCAGAAGAGGCTCCTGGGTCCTGGCTTCGGATTGGCTTAACTCCGGCTGTTGTGGCCACTTACGGAATGAATCATCAGAAGGAAGATTTTGCTCTCTGTCTCTCTTCCTCTCTGTATATCTGCCTTTCCAATAAAAATAAATAAATCTTAACAACAACAACAAAATAAACCCTGGCCAACATTTTATTTCCATGCATTTTAACAAGGTAGGGACCCTGCTCTGCATGCTGTCTTCTATACTTAATAACGGGGACACCCCTAAGCATTAAATTCTCACCACTAAATCATGTTCAGTAATATTAGAAAGGCCCACAATTACTGGATTCTGCAGTTAAATGACCTGTGAGAAAGTACTGTTGGTCATGCGATGGTTCTGATTTTTACTAGCAGTACTCTAAAGAAAAACAGTGTGAACACGTTTATGCATAACAGATTTCCAGCTAATTTTAAAATACAGTTATTAGAATTATTTTGACACCACAGAGCAGTGACATGGTCTGAACTGCCTTTACTTACTTTCAATCACATTTCTGTAATGCTGTTTGGTGAAATGGAGCTTAAGTGAGGTGTTGTTACTCAATACACCGGGAAGGAAGAAGCTGACTGAGGCGTCTCGGCCCCTCTCTGCTTTCTGGGTGTGGATGCTACAGGGAGGAGAGGCTGGGCTCTGCAGGTGCCAGGGAACCATGTGATCCCCACTTCCAAATGCAGAAGGAACCCAGTGGGCAATTCCGCTCCGACACCGACTGCAGTGCAAAGCACAGTGGGGTGGGTGCCGTTCTTCTCCCACCTGCTTTGTTCTGGTCATGCTCAAATTTCACAGGCAGAAAAAAGGAGTCAGAATTTTAAACATTAAAATCAGTGGAGAGTTTCTCCTGGAAGCCCACCTTTCGCAGCCGTGAGAGGAGGCCTGCCACGTGTGCGTGCTGCTCTGATCTCGCCAGATCTTCTGCCGTCTTCCCGTCCTGTCCGGGAGAAAGAAGAACTGATTTTTTCTGCAGGACAATTCTAGCAGTCCCAGGCAGAAACAAGCGTGGCAGGTGTCACAAGCAGAGCCCTGAGATGCCCCTGGTCATTCAGGAAGGAGGGAGGCACCCCAGGACTGCTCTCCCTGACTCAGTTGCTCCCTGGTGTGTGGATCTGGATGCTACAGAGAAGAAGCGAACCCTTCTTGGCCAACAGGTGGGGCCCGTGAGCTAACCTCTCACGCTCCTCACAAGGACAAGCCTGGCTCTCACACGTCATCAATGAGCGGACCCCCGCCACTACGCTTCTCCTACCCAGTGACTGTGTTAAATGAGGGCATTTGGAAGAAATACACAGAGACAGATCTTCCACTCACTGGTTCACTTTCCAAAATGTTGAAATAGGCAGGGCGGGGCCAGGCTGCAGTCAGGGACCCCACGCAGGTCCCCCTGTGGTTACGTGAGGCATCACCAGCTGCTTCCCAGGTGAGCACTGGCATGAAGTCTCACTGTGAAGGTCTCTCCTCTGAGGTCCCCATCTGAGCCTCCAGGCATCCCCAAAGCACCTGATACTCAGTGGCCTGGGCCCAGGGACAGCTCCTGCCTCCCGGGCATGACTCCGCAGTGGCACGTGGTTGGCCCAAGGGCTTAGGTCCCTGCACCCAAGGGGAAGGCCCAGAGGTTGTTCCAGGCTCCTGGCTTTGACATGGCCCAGTCCTGGGTGCTGCAGCCATTTGGGGAACACCACCATCGTATTTCCTGTTTTTAGTGGTGCTTGGCAGGGAGCATGTGCTTAGTACATGGACAATGGAAGTGAAGGGGAGCAGCCATACAGGCCAGAAGCTGCCCTGAGAGGTGATGTGAGGAGGTGACGTATGAAGAAGCATGGAGGGACCATAGGCTCACAGAGCTCCCATGGAAGTTGGAGGCCACACACCTGCTGGGTGTGACTGGAGCCTGCACTGCCACTGGATCGATGTGGTTCAACATTCAGGACAAAAATATTTCTCTGGGGCCCAGCAAATAGCCTAGTGGCTAAATCCTCACCTTGTATGCGCCAGGATCACATATGAGTGCTGGTTCATATCCCGGCTGCTCCACCTCCCATATATGTCCCTGCTCATGGCCTAGGAAAATAGTAGAGGACAGCCCAAAGCTTTGGGACCCTACACCCATGTGGGAGACCCAGAAGAAGCTCCTGGTTCCTGGCTTTGGATCAACTCAGCTCCAGACACTGTTGCCATTTGGGGAGTAAACCAGTGGATGAAAGATCTTTCTCCCTGTACCTCCTCCTCTCTATGTGCCTTTCCAATAAAAATTAAAAAACTTTTTGCCTCTTACAAATGTATGCCGAGAGCCTGGTGGTGTGGTTAAGCCTCAGCCAGAGCTGCTAGCATCCCACACTGGTGCCGGTGTAAGTCCCGGCTGGTCCATTTCTGATCCACATCGCTGCTAATGGCCTGGGAAAGTGGTGGAAGATGGTCCAAGTGCTTGGGCTCCTATGTCCACGTGGGAGACTCGGAAGGAGCTCCTGGCTCCTTTCTTTGGCCTTGCCATGGTGGCCACTGAAAAGTGAATGAGCACAAGGAAGATCTCTTTCTGTCCTTGTCTCTACACTGTAACCCTGCCTTTCAAAAAAAAGATTTTTTTTTTTTAACATGTCACCCACAAGGCCAGTGCAATGGCGGGCTATCCTCCACCCTGTAGTACTGGCATCCCATATGGGAACTGGTGTGTGTTCCAACTGCTGTATTTTTGATCCAGCTCCCTGTTTATGGCCTGGACTTAAGTCTTTGAGACCCTGCACCCACACGGAGACCTAAAAGAGGCTTTTCGTTCACAGTTTTGGGTCAGCTCAGCTCTGGCCACTGTGGCCATTTGAGAAGCGAGCCAGAAGATGGAAGACTTCTTTATCTCTCCTCTCTCAGTAAAATATGCCTTTCAAATGAAAAAACAAATATATACTTAAAACGCATGTACACTTTCTGTAACAGTCTCACTGGTATGTGTCAAGCGATGGCTGGGCTCCAATTGAGGATGGCACAGCAGCCAGGACCTTTTGTGGTAGATGCGTGTTAGCAGTGGGTAGGCAGGGGTCCGGGGGTGGGGGGAGGAATGCCAATCAGACCACTTTGAGAAGCATGCCTGCGGGGAAAGCAGGAGTGGGGCTCAGTATCCCCCAGAACAGACCCATTCATCTAGGGGAGCAACCAGCACCGGGACCACAGGAGAGCAGCCAGGGAGGAGAGTGCGAGGGCAAGGCCTGCAGACACTGTCTGGAGAGGGCTCTGCGGCTTGCTTCTGCCCCGTTGCGACCAACCAGCAAGAGACAAACAAGGACGGGCTGGCCTCTGACCCAGCACAACTGCACAAACAGCTGGTGGCTGGGTTTGGTCTAAGAACCACGCCTTTCAGCCTCCCAGTGATCTGCAAGAAATAAGACTGTGCTGCCAGGCTCAGTGCACTGAGGGGTTTTGCCGGAGCATGTGAGTCCCTCGGAGCATCTGCAGCGACAAAGTGGTCAGTTGGAGGCTCAGGACTGGCCCACGCAAGTCTCCAAAGTGGATCTGCTGCTGGGCCAGGAACGACCTGCATGCCACCATTTCCCCAGGACCACAGCAGCACACGCCCCCTCTTACTAGTGGAAGTGAACCAAGGCGGAACGAGGAGTGAGGGGAACTGCAGAAGCCACACCGAAAACCAGTGAGCAGAGAGGGCGTGGCTCACATCACAGGGTCTGGGTTTGTGCTTCAGCTCTACTTCTGACTGCTTGCTAGGACCCATCCCGGGGGTGGCAGGTGCTGCCTCAAATGGCTGCGTTCCTGCCACCCACGTGGGAGGCCTGCGTGGGGCTCCTGGCTTCAGCTTGGTCCTGCCCTGGCTATCGCAGGCCTTTGGGGAGTCACTGGAAGATCTCTCTCTGTGTTTATCTTTCAAATATTAAAAAAAAAAAAGGAAGAAGGAAAAGTGAAAAAACAAAAATTGTTTGGCCCTGGGATAAAGTCAGACACTGTCACCAAAAGACAAGCTCTTGGGCTGCCAGCGGCACTGCAGCCTGGCCTTTGGGGACAAGCACGGTTAGTGTGCCACCTGGCCTAGACACACACACACACACACACGTCCCATGGAAAACGCTGAGGCACCATTGTGTAACATGGCAACACAAAGACTGGGGGAAGCCGCCGGCACTGTTGGCACAGTGGGACCTGGTGGAGGATGAAACATTCACCAGACACGGAGCGGGCTGCATGGGCCAACGTCTGTGTAACTGGCACAGTGCAGGAGAAGGCACAGCTCGCAGCAGGGGGCCTCCGCACAGCGCAGGCCAGCCACACCACACCCTCAAGGCTGCGGGAGTTCCAGCTCTTGTTCTTTGCCCCCAGCCCCGGCTGCTACTCACCGAGGTCAGCGCTTCCACGTTGGCACCCATCAGACAGAGGTACCGGACCACGTCCAGGATCCCATTGTTGGCCGCCAAGTGCAGAGGAGTCCGTCCATACTGGAAAGGCAATAAATAAATAAACAAATAGAAATACAGAACTGAGAGAATTCTCAGCATCTAAGGGGGACTGCAATGTCTGAGGAATGCTGGGGAACCACCACCAGGGGGCGCCATCTCCCTTTTCACAAACCTGTGTCCCACTTGGGGGAGGCTGGCCTGGCAGCCCTGGGGCAGGATTTGGTAGTTCCAAGAGGAATTCTATGGGCTGGGGCAATGGGAGGCTCCCTTCAGTTTCCTGCCCCTCTGGTGGAAAGCAGACCTGAGCCGGAGCTCCAGGGCTTCTCTCATGATCAGCAAGAGCCACCGCAGGCTCACAGGCAGACCCAACCACTGCAGGTGTTCCAATGAGGGAAATTTCAAGGATGGGTGGACCCAACCCGATTTTGTGGGTTTTAGATTTTTTCCCCACCTGTGGTTCTGGACACTAAGTACATTTCAGGGCACTGCAGGGAGGTCACGAGGTTGCTAAGGAATACCTCAGGGTTCGGATGGAGCCAACAGGTTTGGCTACCAGCTAGAACAGTGTCACCTTCAGACAGTACTGTCTTCTGGGGGGCTTTGGTGTGGCTGTGGCAAGCAGCAAGGGGCATGAGGCAACCAGCATGGGACAGAAATTAGTGCAATAAAAATATTCATGTTCTGGGCCGTTGTTGTGGGACAGCCAGCATCCCATACGGGTGCTAGTTTGAGTCCAGGCTGCTCCACTTCTGCTCCAGCACCCCTGTGAGAGAAGAGCAGGGAAGATGACCCAAGCCTTCGGGAGAGCTGGACGGAGGTCCAGGCTTCTGGCTACAGTTGGGCCTGGCCCAGCTACTGTGGCCATGTGGGGAGTGAGCCAAGATGAAAGAGTTCTTGCAGCTGCCTAAATAATAAATAAATCTCTGAAAATATTTATTTTCTTTCTATTTATGTGCATTTTTTTCAAGCAGTTTGGATAAGCAAAAACACACATACTTACTGAGTTGTTTGGACTGACCTACTTAATAAACAGAATTATTAGGTATTTCTTTCGCCTTAAGAGACCGAAAAAAAAAACCTGCAGAAACACAAAGGATGTTGTGAACTGGAAATGCTTCAGAATCTGTTTTCTGCTGTTTTACCTTCAATATTGGTTTGTGTTATGAACTTAACATGTACTCATTTGAAATTTAAAAAATAAACATACAGAAGGAAATATGGCAGAAGACAAGACTCTTCAGGGCCTGGCATTATGGGGCAGTGGTGAAATACTTTCCCATGCAGCTCCTATTTGTGGCCTGGGAAAGCAGTGGAGGACGGCCCAAGGCCCTGGGCTCCTGCACCTGCATGGGAGACCCGGAAGAAGCTCCTCGCTCCTGGCTTTGGATCGGCTCAGTCCAGCCATGGTGGCTACTTGGGGAGTGAACCAGTGAAAGATCTTCGCCTCTCCGTAAATCTAACCTGCCTTTCTAACTTTGTTTAAGACTTATTTATTTATTTTATTGGAAATGCAGATTTACAGAGAGAAGGGGAGACAGAAACATCTTCCATCCTCTGGCTGGAAGCTGCTCGTGTCCCGTATCAGAGCACTTGGCTGTAATCACGGCTCTGGCTCCTGACTCCAGATTCCTGCGTGTGCACATCCTGGAAGCCAGCAGTCATGCCTCAAGTAGTTGGGTCCCTGGCACTCACACAAGAGACCCAGATGAAGCTCCCACTTCCACAGTCAACCTTGATCCAGCCCTGGCCACTGTGGGCAGCTAAGGCATAAACCAGAGGACAAAAACTCTCTACTGGTCTCTGTCTCTCAAATACATTAAAAAAATTAGCGAAAATCCTTGAGCTCTTGTGAGAAGGAGATGAGGTTTTGGACACTGGCATTTATAAGAATAAATGTAAGGAAGTGATTGTTATGCTTACAGGGTGAGTGTAGTATTACAGTGTGATGAAAGGAAGGGACAAGGACACATCTGAGGGCTGGCCACCTGTAAGAACAAAACCCAAGGCTGCTCTCCTGCCGGCTTCCTTTTCTCACACTGCCCTCTCAAGGCCTCCCTCAGCACCCACACCTCGCCCACTCTTAGCTCTCAGTGGAAGCACAAAGCACCTGCCTCCTGCCTCCTGAACTGGCTCTGCACTCACCTCCATCTGCCAAAGCCCTTGCCAGTGTGAAGTCACCAGCTCTGGAAAGCTTTCTCTGACAGACCTTAGCGTCCGCAGTGCTGTCCCAAACAGGGGATGCTGCTCTGAGTGTGCACCTGTCCAGGGTAGCCTGCGGGCACAGCCACACAGTCACTCACTCCTGCACCCACAGCAGCTCTGCAGGCTGTGCAAAGTGCCAGGAAAGACACTGATGAATTCCTGATGGCTGCAGAGTTCTCTCCCATGCCCCTGAGGGGTGTGTGTGGGTGTGTGTGAGTGTGTGTGTGTCTCTTTGTTCTATTTCTCCTCTTGGCTGCAGCGTGGGTGTGTGTGTCTCTTTGTTCCTATGCCTCCTCTTGGCTCCAGCCCAGGCAGGAGCAAATGGCCAGAGACCATGCTCAAGGCTCCCTGCTCTCCCTGCTCTCCATCACAGCCTGGCTCAGCATTGGAGGAGCAGGAAGCTTCATGAAGTGCCTGTATGACTGCAATGAGTATGAGCGACAAGGCCCTGCTGGTCTGGTCACGACGGTCAGGATTTGATCGGTCACGTTGCCACCTCAAGAACACTATGGGAAAAGAGTGACCACCTGCCCGAGGGAGGTGGACATGCAATGCCACATCCACCAGAACAGCCTATCCTTGAGGGAGTCTGACCCTGGTGGTGCTTCTCTGGGAAGACAGTGCCTTCCTTAGACTTCCCCTCTTGGATGGTCCTCTAAAGCCTGCAGCACATCTTTCTATATCCCATCAACCTTTCCTTCATTTTCTTCTTTTCGTTTTAAAGGAGAGCAGAGTGCCAGTGTTATGGTATTGGGAGAGGAGGACCCTTTAAGAGGTGTGGTCCATAGTGCTGTGGCATAGCAAAATAAGCCTCACCTTTTGGTGCCAGCATCCCCTACGGGTGTCAGTTAAATTCCCTGCTGCTTCATTTCCTATCTAGCTCCCTACTTATGTGCCTGGGAAAGCAGCAGAGGACAGCTCAAGTCCTTGGGTCCCTGAAGCCACATGGGAGACCCAGCTGAAGCTCCTGGCTTCTGATAGGCTCAACTCTGGCCACTGTGGCCATTTGTGAAGTGAGCTAATGGATGAACAGTATCTGTCTCTCCTTCTCTGTGTAACTCTGCCTTTCAAGTAAAAATAAATAAATCTTAAAAAAAAAAAAAGCTCCAAAACAACAAAACCAGCCGGGGTCTGGTGGGAGATGTGGGCTACTGGGAGCACTACCCATGAAAGGATTAATGCCTGCGTCTTGCATTGGGTTAGATTTCACAGAGCTGGACTGTCCTGACACACATAGCTGGCTCAATCTTGAATCATCAGGTTCCAAAACTGGAAGCTCAAAACTACCTCTTTGCTTTCTAACACATACATCCCAGATAACCTGTGATGGCAACTGGAAACAGAACAAAGTGACCCCAAGCCTTGTGAAGAAGGCATGGAGACTCACAGAGTGCCCGCAGTGCTGTGTGCAGGGCACCACAGTGCAGTGTGCAACTAGCAGCACCTGCCTGAGCTCTGCCACTTCCACGAGGCCCAAACTGTAGCCCCGATGATCCGTGCTTCAGCCAAGCTCTACTCAAACCACGAAGTCATCCTATGTATGCACTCTACGCAGAGCTGCTGTGCTATCCAGCATAAAAAGGCAGGTTCAGGCAGCACGAATGAACCGCTATGGGCACGGGCAGGGAGACTCTTCCATGAAATAAGCCAGTTGGTCTTAATTGTGAAATCCTAAGGATCACTCGCCAGAGCCTTGAGAGCACTTAGCAAGTTCTCAGGCATGGGGTGAAGCCAGGAAGAACACTCCATTCCCTTCACAGAACAGGAACACCACGGCAGGAACACCATGAGATGCCTGACACCTCCCTGCCCCTGCTGCTGCCAGATGCTACCGCACACACAGGCTCCCTGTGCACACAGTAGGCTCACTGCACACCCCATAGGCTTGCTACACACGTACTAAACTTGCTGTGTGCATAATGGCCAAGTCTGAAGGCAGTCACACTTCTGGAAGCCACTTTGGATTCGATTAAATAATCTTAGAAGAAGAAAAGGCAAGGTCTTGATTCTTTTTAACACTGCATTTGGCTTTCTTCTTAAGCCAATTACACAATTGACTTGGCAAGATGAGAACGGAATAAACTAAGAGAGCCAATGGTGGCTAATGGCTAAGACACAGGAGATTGCTTCTTCTCAGCAAAATGTGAAGATTAATAATTTCAATTTCCACTAGGATTAATCAAATGATATGCAACAGGAACAATTTTTGTAGAAATATGATATTCTAGCTGTTGCAGATATTAATCTTTTTAATAAAATCCTGCTGGCACTGCGCATGCCATTTATTAACAAACACTTTGCCCAATCAAAAAATTAATTTCACTGGGACTCTGCCTTTAACCCAATCATAACAAAATATGCCCTATCCCCTAGGGCCATAGAGCTACATACACATAAACCCAGTTGTCCTATTTCTCTTGGCCAATAAAATTTAGATGGAACTCAGGAAAAGGGAAGAATGTAGCCAACTTCTAGAAGATATGAGATTTTAATAATGCAACTAACAGAACACAATGGATTATTTTAATCCTTAAGTCACACAAAAAATGAACACACTGGGGTTGGTGTGGTGGCATATCACACTAATTCTCTGTCTATAGTGCTGGCATCCCATGTGGATGCTGGTTTAAGTCCTGGCCACTCTACTTCTAATCCAGCTCTCTGCTTATAGCTGGGAAAGCAGCAGAGGATGACTCAAGTCCTTGAACACCTGAACCCTGAGGGAGACTCAGAAGTTCCTGGCTGCTGCCTCAGGACTGGCTCAGCTCCAGCCGTTGTGGTCATTTGGGGAGTGAACCAGGGAGGGGATGGACGAGGTCTCTCCACTCTCTCCTTTTCTCTGCATAACTTTGCCTTTCAAATGGAAATCTTAAAAAAAAAATAGCAGTCCTTTGGTCTTACCAAATGTGTTAGCATCAAAGAGAACTTTGAATCATAGAACTCTCAAGGGGGAAGCAAAGAAAGAACATAAGAACCACGATCAAATTACCATGTCATTATGGGTGCTCCTAAAGTTAGTGCTCCAAAACGATGCCTCAGCTTATACCGCGGGCTGATTCCTCGAGGAGCACATATGCATTAAATACACACATACACACCTCCGACAGACACTCTTAGGACGCCCAACATGGGAAGCCAGACCAAGCCTGATGTCCTATTTCCTGTCACTCTAGGAAATTATTCATAGCCACACATGAACAAAAGCAAAACAAAAGCAAAACAAAAGCAAAAGCAAAAGCAAAAGCAAAGCTGCCTGTGACTAGCGGCCCCTGGGAACCATGAAGAGGTGCCAGCAGAAAGGATGCCAAAAGCCAGCAGCAGGCGGGCAGACGACACAGTCCTGGCTCCACCCCTCACCTTGTTTGAGATGTCCAAGTGGCAGTTGGCTTCACAGAGGGCCACCACGATGGGCAGGTTGCCGTCTTTGCAGGCCACGTGGAGGGGGGTGTTGCCGTGCCTATCTTGGAAGTCCACCAGACAGCCGTGGCTGATGAGTGCCTTGATGACCTCCAGCTGACACCGCCTGACGGCCAGGTGCAGGGCAATGTGTCCATCCTGTGAATCAATGCCAGTGGCCATGAGTGCCATTCCCTTCCTGGAGGCCAGGGGCTTTCCACCTTCCCCGCCACCCCCGCGGCAGGTTTCACCAGCAACGAGTCTAGCACTGCAAAATCTAAAGGAGAACTAGACAGTCATAAACTTGGGCTAGGCTCTGTGCAGTGGTTCAGGTCCCAGCTGCTCCACGTCTGGCCAAGCCACCTGCTAGGCCGGCAGGGTGGATGATGGTTCCAATGCTTTCTTTTTTTCTTCTTCTGGCTCTCAAGCAAATGAAAATAGATATTTTAAAATCATAAACTTTATCCTGGTGGAGAAAGCTTTGTATTTTCCACTCTGGGTAATTGCAGCCTAATTTGTACTCTGATTAATTTAGGCTTGCGAAGTACAATCAGAAAAAAAAGGATTTCCCACTTCTCTATGTCTCTGGATTTATAGCATACAACTTTTCGTTGGGATCTTCAAGGGCCTAGCACTCAAAGCATTTTAAATACAGTTTAAAACACTTTCCCAGCTTTACTAACTTCCAAAGAAGACAGCCTATTATTATTATTGTTATTACTACTATGTTTTGTGTGTGTGTATGTGTGTGTGTGTGTGTGTGTGTGTCACACTAAGAGAAACTGAGAAACTGATGGGCAATAACGTGCTCCAGGACTGTTGTGGCAGAAGCAGCAGTGTGACCCACTGACCTCTCCATCTCACGGACAATCTGCCAGGGGATCCATTCCACACATCCCAACCTCCCTGGGGGACAGATGTGCTGTTTTACAATCTGGGCGGAAAGTTCTGAAACATTTCTCTAGGTCACCTGCTCTCAGCTTTCTCAGCCTAGGCAACTCCTGGTTACAGAGGATGTAACATGAGGGGCAAGGACACAGAGCAGCACCTGTGACTCTGACCCATCAAATGCCAGTAGCAAGCCCACCCCTGGCTGTGTCAACAACAACAAAAACATGTTGGTGGCTCTGATCCAATGTCTCTGGGTTATTTTAAAATTGCCCTAAGCTGAGAACAAATTGCTCTGTGCCCACAAGATTCTTCCCAGGAAGTTCCTACACTGCTTGTAGTGTCTCAGGCCCAATTGCCTACTAGGGGGCTTCAAAATATAATGTAACAATGGAATTCAAGGTGAGGATTTGAGGCCAAAATTTTTTGAAACACATACACGGTGCCCTCATAACTCGCCTTTTCTATGAATTGAGTGCTACCACACAAGGGGTCTTTGAAAAGCTCACGCAAAATGCATGTCATTTTCTTATCTTCTCACACTATCTCCCATTCCATTTTCCATGAACTTAGCAATGTCACAATCTTGTTTTAAGTTCACAGTAAAAAAAAAATTCGTGCTGAATTTGCTTTACTGAAAAAAGGTACCAGTTGTTCTAAAATTGAAACAGTCATGCAGTTAGAGTGGACATTGCCTTTGACAAGAGAGCAGGTGATGGAAGTAAACAAACCAGCTACTTCTTTACCTAAAAACTAACAGGGCATTGTCCATTTTGCTCCTCAGTGAGGGCTCTCTTCAATTCAGCGGTCATCACCGTCTCTGCTTCAAAGCTTAAAAAGACAAGACACTGAACGACATTTCACCAACTTGGAAATTTTGATCCAAGCAACAAATGGATATTAAATAGTAAAGAGGACCTAGGGAACAGTAGAGATGCTTTGGAACAGCGAAGGTTAAGGATGAGTGCGACTTCCTGCATTCAAGTTGTCATCTAAAGCAAACACACCGCGTCACCCTGTCGTCCCCCTAGCTGCCCTCCTGTCCACCTTTCAGAAAGCAGGACCGTGACCCTGTAACGCACCTTGTCCGAGGCGTTCAGGTCGGCTCCGTGCTCAGCCAGACACTCCACGATGTCGTGGTAGCCCCTGGCCGACGCTGTCAGCAGGGGCGTCTCGCCTTCACGGTTCTTGATGTTCACATCACAGCCAGCTTCGCAAAGGGCTCTGGCCACCGGGTGGTAGCCGTGCCAGGCAGCACAGTGCAAGGGGGTTTCCTCTTCCTGGCCATGGAGGAGCAGGGGGAAGATGTCCCAACCAGGGGGAAGAAAGATGCATAAGGCACAGTGAGCGTCTTCGGTGAGTGCCATAGCACAGTCGGGTCACAGGAGCAGCAAAGCCCCTAGTGGCCCCTTGGGCACACACTAACCTACCACATCTGCCTGTGAGGGGCCACTGCCATGAATGTGGACTCTGAAACCTGAGTGTGGTGGCTCAAACCCCGGCTCCACTCCCTCCAGGGACTGGGTGAGCTTGGGCAAGTGATGGAAGCTTGCTCCACCTCAGTTTCCTCATCTGAACCATGAGCATGATCAGCAGCCCACCACTGAGCACTGGCCAGAGGCTTAAATGAAACAAGTGCTGAGGGTCTGCTCTGGTTTGAATATGGTTTGTCAATTAATCCCCACCAGGTGACATCAGGAGGTGCAACTGGAGGTGGCTCCTCCAACACAAAAAGTGATTCGGGTCCCACCCCTGTGGCTGCGTTAGTCCACTCATGGGGTTTATAGGTCATTATAGGAGAGTCTGTTATCAAAGCTGGCTTGGTCTCTTGAATACTTCCTGTCTGCCATGCTTTGGGAATCCAGCGTGAAAGAAGGACATAACCAGATACAGCTTCTAAACTGCAGAACAGAACTGTGAACCCAAATAAACCTCTCTTTATTTACAGCTGACCCAACCTGTGGTCCTGCGCCATTATAACAGGAAATGTGTGAAGGCAGACCTGCTCCTTGCCTTAGCACCTGCTGCACGTAGTCCTGTGGGGTACCTTCCAAAAGGCCCAGAAGTACCACTGGGCTGGGACGTCAGCTCCCATGACACACCTTGTCCTGGATATCGGGGTTGGAGCCGAAGCTGCACAGTAGCTGAACCACATCAGCATGACCATAGCGAGCTGCCACGTGAAGCGCCGTCTCTCCAGACTGCAAGAAAGGTGGAGCCGGAAATTCAGGGCCACCCCTTGGGAGCAGGGAGGGGATGAGGTCCCCTCCCAACATTCCCACCCTGTTTGGGTGACTGGATCCAAGACCTGGGGTATCAGCTAGTGTTGAATTTACCCAAGGGGCTCATCCAGTTAGTGATAACCCCTTCCCCCAATACACACCCCCTCACAGAGAAGGCTTTCTCTGCCCATCATTTCTAGGCCCAGCATTCTTCATATCCATGATTTAGTTTTCAAACATAGAACGCCTTTTTAGATGGCAGGTCTATCACACAGCAGCTACTGAAATATTGTTTTGTTGATCCACAAATTTCTCATTTCCTTGCCTGACCAAGCTTAGAAATGTGTTGTTGACATCTGAGATTTTAAAGACCATCCTTATTTGCCCATACAAATAACTCCCAGTGCATTGGTCTAACAGGTGCAACTCCTTTAAGATTTTTATTAAGAGCTGTCAAAATAAAAAGCCAGGATAAACTCATTACAAGGAGACCAAACAAGATATTTTACTGCCATCTGCCAGAAGACTGCCCTAAGAAGCGTGTTTGGCTGGGAACACCGCACTTCAGGCAGGGAGCAGTGCACCAGCAATGCAGTGTGGGTGGCAGTCCTGACTAAACACGACAAATTAGTGATGTACACTGCACTAAATAATGAATGAGAAGGTGGAATCCCAGGTTCAGGTTCCAGCCCTGCCCAGCAAAGCACACAACTGTTGCACAGACAGAATGAAACATGCAGATGGGAAAGTAAGGGCCCTGAGGAAAGCAGCAACGCGCCCCCTGGAGCCTGACTCTACAGCTCCACGCACTAACTCCTGAACCTTCCAGTGCCATGGATGCTAAGGTCATCCTCATCGGCCACTTTGGAGAGGATGAGAACGAGACAGATTTGCTTCAAAGCGCAGAGTTCAGTCCTCAAGAACTGTGTCCATGTTACGGGGAAGAGAAGTCACTTGCAGACCGCGGCAACTATCCAGCAGATTTAACAGCAGACCAAGCCACAGGCAAAATGAAACCTATAGCTTACATTTTTTTGCAGGAGGATTTGGTTCCTGAAACATTATTTTTTTGGGTGCTGATACTCAAACACATGAAGGTACTCCTTCCTCCTCTCCTCCCAGCCAGAGAAAATGGCCTTACCTTGTCTTTAACATCCAGCGGGCATCGATTCTCATTGAGAAACTTCAAGGTATCCACGTGGCCGTGCCGAGAGGCCCAGTAGATGGCGTTGGATCCACCCTGCAGGACAACCAAGCTGGAATGAGCTTGGCAGGGAGTGATCCCAACACGGGCATCCCTCAGAACTAGTGTATGTACCTTCTGTGAGCTGACAACCCACAAAGTGCTACCAGCTTTGAGAAAACCCAGTTAGGTACAGCTGGGTGAAGGGTAGCAGAGGATTCTGTACTATCTGCAATTCTTTTTTAGTAAATCTAAAATTATTTCAAAATAAAAAACACTTCCATGTTTATTAAATTCCCATCTTAGCTTCTCCTTAGATTTACCCTGGAGAGTTGGCTCTCAGCATTTGTGGGGAATTGGTTCCAGGTTCACCATGGACGACAAAATCCAAGGATGCTCAAGTCCCTTCTGCAAAGTGGCAAAGTGTTTACATATCTCCTGGATGCTTTAAACAATCTCTGGATGACATGCAAAATCCAGCACAATATAAATGCTAATGACAAGGAGAGCACCTGGAATCCACAGTTGGTAGCACCGTGGATATAGAAGCCACGGGAGGAGAAGAAGCACTGAATGCTCACAGGCCAGAGCCAGTCCCTCCACTGGTCTACTAAAGATCTACGGAATCAGGTAACCAGGCCATCACTATCACTGCCAGCTGTCACTCAATTCTGAATAGCAGTTCTAATGCGAGCAACACCGCAACACGTGGCTGCCCTAATAAACACAGATATGCATTTCTGATGACGTTAACTAGACATTCAGTACTGGTGAGTAAACAGCAGCAGCAAGGAATAATGTCAGGGGCAGAAAGAAAAGCTGATGTGGAACAAAATGCCAAGCAGAAGATAAATGTTTGCCTTGTCACTGTGAGACGGTCTTGGTCTAATCAAACAAGCCGACTTCTTTAGCAGAAGCAGAGAAAAGAATTAAGAAAACTTTGCTTTTGGGGGGGCTGTTATTTTTAAGAATATGACACATTAGTTAATGCTTAAAAAAATAACTGATTTGTGCTCAATCAGAATTATGACCTTATCTTGGACATCGATTCTTGAGCCTCTTTTAATGAGCAACTGCAGAATCTGAATATTCCCGCAGCCGGCAGCGATGAGGAGTGGAGGTGTCCCATGCTGGAATGGACAAGGAGAAAAAAAAAGGACAAATTTTTAGGTTATGAAGGGAAAGCCTCAGTGACCAGGACAGCCCCCACATCTCCTCAAGTCTCAACAGACAGAGCCACTGCTGTGCAACAGGAAAAGAAGAATAGGAAGGCCACAATAACCTTCCTCTGTTGGATTCCTGATCAAGGGTGACAAGGTCACCTGCAGGACAAGTAGATGGAATGCTTCAAGGTTAGAGGTATAACAGGACAATGAAGGGAGGGCCCCAATTCACAGGAATCACGTCTGCTACTCAGATCACCACGCCATGAGTGGGGAACCTTTTGTTCTGCCAAGGGCCATTTTGATGTCATCATTCACAAGCCCCAGAAGGTTAACAGGCTGTAGATTTATTCCATTGCCTTGGCAGGGACAGACCAAATGATTTCATGGGCTGGAGGTTCCCATCTCTGCAAGTGATGCCCCTACACAGCAGCAAGTGTCCAGTTGGCAGAGAGATTGGAGAAGAACAGGGGGATCTTTCCACCTTGGACATGGAGGTGTCCAGTCACGGTCCATTCCCACACCACCACCCTCGCCAGCGAACAGAATCAGACCTTGTTGGGTTGGTTGACATCATAGTTGGACAAGGAGCCCAGAAGATGCTGCAGGCCTGGGACATTGTCATCATTAATGGCATGGATGATGGCCTTCATCACAAAAGAATCTTCCTCATCCTTGGGGAGAGAACAGATAGAGTTGGTCTGCTTGCCAGAACCCTTTTAGCAGCATAAGAGAAACCAATGTCCACTGGTTGCAAAGGGGCATGCGGAGGAAAGCGTTGAGCTCTCCAGTCTACAACGCTGTGAAGGGCACAGGAAGGACTTGACTGTCTCAGCCACCACCCCCTACTGGTTACCTCGGGTTTCAGTGTCCCTACATTACCACCTACACTGCAATGGCTTCTGAGATTCAGGTTTCATACAATGAGAGGTCAAATAAAACCTCCTATTGAAACTTAGGAACCTGCCAAAATACAGTCCTAGAAATCCCTGAAGGAAATCTCAGGTGTGATGCATCGAACCAAAGAAATGACACAGCTGAACGAGACATTCTAAATTGGCTATTTTTTGAATGACAGAATTGTTTTGTTTCAATCACTTGAATTTCTTCCTTCTCTATGTTTGAAGAAATATGGAAAGAGTCTCAGAAACTGGGTCACACTTCTAAAAATTAAATTGTAAATGTGTGAAAGTATAAAGATAAGGGCCAGAAAAAAATAAAATGGAAGTATTTACAATTATAAAGAAAAAAATAACCGGAGTATCAAACTGCAAATTAAATCTGTGACTTTGCCAATGTGTCAAAGTTTTCTTACAACATATTTCCTAAATATGCTGCTTTAAAAGCAAGACATCCTAAACAAAATATTTGGACTTCCGGAAGCATGGCTACTGGCATTTCCAATGTGGAAAGCAAATATGCAAAGCTGGACCTGTATTCTGGTGGAAAAAGGGAAGAAATGGTTTTCTGACTTCTTCTTTTTCCTCTTCTGGAGATATGAAGCCAAGCCAACCCCATGCAGGTATCATGACATTTATATACAACACATGGGTAAGAATGCCATGGGCTTTGCTTTTGTGTCTTATTTTAAATAGATGAATAAGATACATCCTCTCAAGGGTCAAAGGTAACAGCAATGAGGAGAGAGGTAGGAATAAAGCAGGTGGTCACAGCACCCGCTATAAAATGCAAAATTCAGAGCTGATGAGGGACCTTGGGCTCAGAGAAGGGATCTGCCTGCTATGACTTCTCAGCCGCCTCCCTCCCTCGCCCTGACCTTGCCATGTGCTTCCCCAGTGGATTACTCAGGATGACTACAATGTGCAATCCTGAAGGATTCTCATTACCTTTCTTGCAAACCTAGTTTTTCTAACTTCTCTCTAGTTCCACTGTATCCCAACCAATGAATTCCTGGGTCCAGCTTTTTCCTAATTTGGATTTCTCCCACCTAATTTTTGTAAACATCTATCTCTTTCAACTCAGTGGCACATCAGTTGATTTACTGCTCAGGAGAGAATGAGAAAACAGAGAGTTGGCTTACGCTGGCCTGCGCCCTTGCAGTCTGGGATCCCGCCCAGGAAATGCCAGCGATTCAGTTACAGGCTGGGGAGTTCCCACGGAACTGCCTTCCCCAGAGCACCACAACTCCAGGGACCACAGGGGGAAAAGTCCTGTCAAATCAGGGACTCAGGTCTATCTAAAGAGCTCATCAGCACTTAGGTTTCCATTTGGATTTGGGCAAAAACCTAGAGACTTATTCTCCAGGGTCTGAAGGAATCCACACAGTGTCAAACAAGCAAATGTGTTGTCTTCTGTTCTACCGTGAGACACTCAAATTTTCCTGATTTTTGGTATCTTGTAGCAATGTGGTGAGTAGGAGAGAGTTTGTAGTGAAAGGGTCAAAGTGGGCCGCCCACCCCGTTCATGCTATTGTCACCCATGATTCTTCTATGTGGCAACAGAACCCTCTCATTTTAGTTCATGCAAATGAGAAGCAGCACTTTCCCAGTAGTTAACCTCTTTTTCATCAAAGCTTGTGCGCAATGTGCACGTGGTGGAGGCAGTGGAGCTAGTGTGTATAGAGTGAGATTGTGCCAGTTCAAATCAAAGAAAGGAAACAAGCAACAGGATATAGCAAATCAGGAGCCCTAACCCGGTCCTGCCAGCGGAGATCGCACGGTCCTCCCTTCCCGGTGAGTTTGGGTTTTCCAAGTTGCTGAGCAAACAGAACAGCGTCAACATTGAGGAATCCCAGTACCCAGAAGCAGGCCCCTGAAAGGCCCTTGGGTTTGCTTACCAGAGTATCATCGCTTCTGGCAACACTCATGTTACTTCTGGACAGGAACGACCTGGATAATCTTTGGCACAGTGATATCAGGCGAACGGATTGCTTTGGGGAGAAAAAGGAAAAAGCAGGACAGAAGGGAGCAAGATTACGGGACCACAGTCAGGTCAGGGCAATGGACATGGTCTTCCAGACCAGGGCCACTGCTAACAGAGGCATTCTCCAGGGTGGACAGCCCCTGTGTCGGGCACCACAGGGATTTAGGGAGTAGCTCTACAGCGGTGTCCCTCCACAGACCAGGCAGACAGGGCCCTCCACTCAAAGCACTGGACAGGATGCCCCATAGACCATCTCTACCCACAAGGATGACCGTCTTACCCTAAGAAAGCCCTTTCAGGTTTCCCTTTGGAGAAGAGCGGTCAGTGGAGACCCACTCTGTCTCCTTGCACCCACAGGAGCTTCCACATGAGACGATGGCATCAGCAGAGCACACATCAGCAGAGCTGAAACCCAACAGGTGGGGTCCCTGATTCTACAGGGCAAACACCTCTGCTTTCACTCCTTAAGGCAGAAGCAACTGCTAAACTGTGTGTGTGTGTGTTTGAGAGAGACACCTGGTGTTCTCTCTTCATTTTAAGCCTTATGACACCCCAAACTTAAAGAGTATGAAAATGAGGTACACAGCTAGCCCAGTGCTGGGGAGTCATGACATACCCCGACTCAGGAGTTGGGCCTGACAGTGGTCACAGAAAACTAACCTCTGTCCGCCTTTACCCTAAATTTCAATTTGCTGAGCGATGGCTGGGATGTCCTGTAGAGTCACATCCCATCCACAGGGGGCCCATACCAGCCCCTCCCATCCATGCTCGGGCAGGGTGATTCCCAGAACCACAACCCAAGGGACATATTTATTTAAAATGCATGTTGTTCCATTCAGATGGAATCTTATGGGAAAGGCTTTGATTTTTTTTAAAGCAAAATCATATATAGAAACAGCACAGTTTCTTCCTGTCTTTGTAACAGGGTAAGTACAGAGACGGCAGGGAAATTCACACAGGGACAATGTTTTCCCGTGGGCAGCATCAGAAGCCAGCAGCCCTGAGCAGACAGAGCGGAGCAGAGGAGGCAGCAGTGTGGAGCCCACTCCGCCCAACAAGCTTACTTTCCACTTCTTCCGCGCTGCAAACTTTTTGAATTTCTCCATGTTGACTGCTGATGCTTTCCGACTGAGAGCCTGCTGCGTATCTTTCGGCTGAAAAAGAAGTGCAGAGCTTTCAAATGATAGAAATGTGTGCCCTGAGAATGTGCAGGCTCCATGACTTCAAGCTGAGACTATCAGATTCCTCAACCTTCATCCTTTTAAGATTTATTTATTTATTTTGAAAGAATTAGGGCAGGGAGAGAGGGAAGAAAAAAGAGAATCTTCCATTGCTGGTTCACTTCTCAGATGGCTGCAATGGCTAGGGCTGGGCCAGGCCCAAGGCAGAGCCAGGAGCTTCTTCCAGGTCCTTCTTCCATATGGAGGCAGTGGTCCATGTGCTTGAGCCATCTGCTGCCACTTTCACAGGTGCATTAGCAGGGAAATGGAGCAGCCCTAATTCTAACTGGCAGCCATATGGGGTGCTGCCACAGCAGAGGGCAGCTTCACTTGCAACCCCACAGTGCCGACCCCAGCCCTTTTTGTTTTTACAGTCCTTAACCCAAGTGCCAAAGGACCCAGGCAAGTAACACAACGGTGCTGTGCACAGGGGTTCCCACCTCCCGGCGCAAGGAATGTGTGCCACCATCCTAGGCCATGCAGGATGAGTGCTCTGTGACTGCCCCCTTCAGATTCCTAAGAAGGACTTGCAAAAGCAGATCTGATACTCACATACCGGAAATCCACTCAAAGTTTTAAAAAATTATTTAGCTGGGCCAACAGTGCTAACATCAAACCAAACAGGTTAAGTAGAGCTGACATTCTGTGATCCTGCCCCATGATACATTCTTGCTCTTTTTTTTTTTACCTCTGGGATCCTTAGGGACACTGTGTCGGTTTGTCTTAAAATAGGACTTTACCATTAACCCCAACACACCAATTAGGGCCTATGACTTGCATGTCTCGGGGATGAATGCATGCCAGGATGTTCCAAACCATCTGAACAGCACCCTACCAGGCAACTCACCTTAATCCAGGGGTGTTGCAGACTGTCTTGAATGGTCATTCTCTTCCTGTGCCAGGGGAGAGGAAGGGAGAGAATGACATTGACGCGGTGACCACAAGCAAGTGAACACTGAGTGAGAGCGCCAGCTCAGCCCGCCTAACAGACACCCGGAAGGAGGCAGTGTCCCAGGAAAACCAAATGTGATGCTGGGTGTTGGTGACAACCTCATCACAGCTGCGGGCACCGGCTGGAGGGGTTCAAAGTGTCCTGCTATGATACGAGGACAGCGTGCTCCCTCCAGAACACTGTGTTGAAGTTTAAAGCTCATTGTGAGGTGTTAGGAGACTACACACTTAATCTGATGATGACAGTCAAGGTTTTCAGGAAATGATCCTGATTAGATGCAGTCCTGACTAAGATGTTCTTTTGGAGGAAAAGTGAGAGACCAGGTTGTGTAGGTGTGCTGCCTGCCTGGTTTGCGTGCGCACGCACACACATGCGTGCACACACACGCCTGCTATGATGAGGCTTTCCGTCATGATGTGATGCAGTCAGGGAGGCCTTCCCCAGAGCTGTTGCTATCCTGTCTGGACATTTAGCCTCCAAAGCCAGAGCTTCATAAACCTTGTTATTAGTTAGTCAGCCTCTGGCATCATGTTATCATAACAGAAAATGGACAAATACCAGCATTGAGTATATTCAGAAATTCTTCAAGCGGCATGCATCCCTCTGGCGGGAGGCATGGCCAGGATGTGACACACACAGCCCTTGTGGGCACAGAACAGGTGCCCGCCCCTGATCAGCGAAGGCTATGGCAAACCCCTCCCAGGAACGACAGGCACTCACTTTGGATCTTTGACCAGAAGTCTCCTTATGAAGTCTTTGGCAAGTGCACTGGTGTTACTGAAGTATTCCTCCTCAAACTCGTAGTTGACAGCAGACACATTGGCTAATGTTTCTTGCTTAGTGTCTCCAAGAAATGGGGAGGCCCCACTGAGCCTGCCGAAAACAAAGAGGTCACAGAACATAAAGGATCACCCAGTAGGCTCTCCTGCTGCCGCTTCTGTCACACCTAGTCAGTGTGTGGATAAGACTCAGGGCTGCGTCCAGGGCGGCCATTCCACAACTCCATCACATCTCAAGGAACACTCCACTGCCCTGAAGAGAAACCTCAGATGCGGAAGGGCATTTAGTCTAGCAGTTAAGATGCTGTGTAGGCTGCCTGCATCCTTAATCAGAGTGCCTGGGTTCGGGTTTCAGCTCTGCTTTCCATTCTAGAACCCTGCCAGGATGTACCCTAGGAGGTCACGGCTCAAATACTTGGGTCCCTGTCACACTGACTGGGGAGGCACACACTGAGTTCTGATCTCCTGGCTGTGGTTAAAGCCCAGGCATGGCTTTCGCAGTCATTTGAGGAACAAATCAGTGAATGGGACCAGTCTGTCTCCCCCTTTTTCTCTCTGCTTATCTTTATCTTTTCTTCTCTCTTTGCCTTTCAAATAAATAAGGCACATAAATGCAGAGGCTTTATTTCAACAGTTAATTCAGAACAGCATCCTGAGGTTTGCAAAACCCATGCTTCCCATTTCCTCGGCTGTGATGGATAGCCAGGCTTTCTTTCATCGATTTTGTCTTTTTTCTGATGACTCATTTTAAATTTGGAGATGAGGTTAAATTGGTATAAACTCAGCGTGTTTTGGGGGTGTAAAATGAATCCATTTATATAAAAAGTGTGCATAAACTGGAGAGATCAACACTGCACATTTAATGGTTAATTAAACCTGAGGGCTGGTAGGGAAGGACAAAAAGTGAGCTGTGGACTTTGATACTTACAGAATATAGGTTATTACCCCGATACTCCTAGACACAAAAACAGAATAAAAGAACATGTCAGAAGAAAAGTAACATCAATGAGAACAACAGCAGCCCCAGGGCCATGCTCCTTACCACATATCTGCCTCGAGACCCAGAGGTTCATAGTTGACTATCTCAGGAGCTAAGAGGAAATGAACACTCACTCAGAAGGCAAAGGAAGCGATCCCAACTCTATCTCAGATGAGCCCCCAACCCCCATCCCTGTAACATGAGCCAAGGAAGCCAAGGAAAAGATTGCCAGCACTTTCAGCAGGCAGATGTGACCCCAGGAGCCAAGCCACTCACCAACGAATTCTGGAGTCCCAAATATGTTCTTGAACTCATTGCCAAAGTCAATTTTATGGGCCAGTCCGAAGTCAATGATTTTGATTCGAGGTTTGGGGACATTTCTATCCAAAAGCATTATGTTTTCCGGCTAAGACAATAAACAGAGAGAGAATGGTATGATGCCAGGATGACACAAGAGCAGTTCTTTCTTTCTCCCTAAAAAATAAATCACTCAGTGACTGGTGCACAGTGGTGTCAGCATCAGTTCGAGTCCCAACTATTCTACTTCTGATCCATCTCCCTGCTAAGGTTCCCAGGAAAGCAGCAGCAGATGGCCCAAAGGCTTAATTTCCTGCCACCCACGTGGGAGACCCAGATGGTGTTCTGTTCTCCAGGCTCCAGTCTGGTCCAGCACCTCCTGCTGCAGATGTGTGGAGATGGAAGAAACAGATGGAGAGACTCTCTTTCCCTTTGCCATTGCACCTGTCACTTTCTATTGCCAGTAAATAACTGGAATAAATCTTAAAAAACAAGAATCCACTCAAAACAAAGGGAACAAGGTAGCTGAAAGGCAGTACCAGGAGAGACAGATGCCTTAGTTCAGGTTCTCCAGAAGTAGGCCTGCGTTCAGGGGTTCCTACGCAAGTGGTAGCTGGGGAGGGGGAGGCAGAAAACAGAAGGACGCTGTAACAGGGGTTTTTTCAAGGTGGGGTGACTCAGCGTAGGCCTGCTGGGGAACTCAGGGGTGGAGGAAGAAACAGCACTCAGAGTTAGTCTGATGTAGGCACCAGGGGTGGGGGTCTCTCTAACCCCTCGCCCCATCCCGTCCTCCATCCCTGGGAACTACCCTGGGCAATTTATTCCCTGAGCCATGGGCGTGTGCGTTGGGCAGGTGGGTACGAGTGAACGTTTGCTGGGAGATCCAAGCAGGTGCAACAAATCCTCCCCACCTGGAAGTGGCACCCTGTGTCACAGTTTCTCACTGTTCCAAACTGACCTTAAACCTTACCTGGCATTTTTTGTATGTCCTCTTTGAGTCTTCCTTTTCCCCAAAGATTCTCCCCACCCCACCCTGCTCTCCCTCCTGGGATGTTGCACATGGACACAATCTTTCATCTCCCACAGTCCTCAGCCAGCAAGGCCGAGAGTCGGCCACAGCTAGGACCAGGAATGCAGGCCAGTGCATCAAGAAAGGAGTGCAGGGCACAGGGGTCTTTCCACCCCAACACAGCCAGAGCCAGGTAGATGGACCCGGGTTGGCCATAGGCCAGGGCAGGCTGCCACAGCCCTAGGAACCAAGGGCAGCTCCCTTGTTTAGAGACCTGGCCAACAATACCCCTATTCCTTCGGTAAGGATTTCATAGCAGAGTCTTTACGCTTACGTCTTGACCGCAGGTGTATGTGAGGTCTGATTACACACGCCTGGCTTTTACCTTGGTAATCCTGCTTTCTAATTATACACATGCAGGAAACAGGAAAGATATATCTTTTAGAGGCCTCTGCTTCAACCTGACAACATACCTTAAGATCAAAGTGAGCGATCTGGAGTGAGTGGAGGTAGTAAACACCATTCAGGATTTGCTTGAGAAATTCAGTAGCTTCCTCTTCAGTCAAAGATTCCTTTTCAGCTAGGAAGTCAAACAGCTCACCACCTGCAACACTGAAAACCCAGACGCAGAGGTTACTGATATCATCCCGACAGGATTTCTAGCACATCGCTTCCTCCCTCAACTAGAGAAGACGTGGGCAGCCCAGCCTGAGGATGGTCATCAAGGCTTCAAGCACAAACACAATATCTGGTCCTATAGGGACCTTGCTTTGTGCTTATAATTTTGTAACTTGTTCAGTATTTACTGAGCACAACACTTACATGTTTATAACAATCACATTTAATAACAAATTTAACAAATACCCTCATTCAGAAGAAACATTGTGCACAAAATTTAAATACATGCAGTTGTTTGGGGCTTTATTTTGTCACCTGGCCAGCAGTCTGTGGGGGCAGCACTCAATCCCCCACTCGCAGCTGCCCACCACCGTGCTCCTCCCATTTCCAACACAGCCCAAGGCACACAGCAGGTGCACTAAACTTGTCTCAAGTGGAAGAATGCACGGACTCCCCTAAAAACTCAATGGTGGTGATTAACGGCAAGTAACAGGGAACTTCTACAGTAAGAATTTTCGTAAGTTCATCTCTATCAACTTTACATTCATAGCAACACTATATAATGATTATTAGACACTCTCAGCCCTGGCAGAAACAGCCTGGCCTTCCTTCCATGGGCACCATGGAGCACGAGGCCAGCCAGCGAGTCTTGGAGCCCAGGCAGCCTGTGGTGCACCAATCCTCGCCCCCGCCACCCCACCACTAACCCTGGGTTACTGGTCTCCCTGCTCTGTAACCACTCTTGCTCTGAGGGTGGAAGGTGGGAGGAAGACACTGCCAGCCTACGTCCTCCCTTCCTCCTCTTGCTTCTCAGGCACACAATGCCCAGCCTCAGAGCTTCTCCTTACTCCAGGTGAAACCTTTGTGTATCTCCTATTACTTTTAACATGAACAACAGGGGCAGAGGGACTCCTCTGGCTACAGAGGAAAATGATGGGAGACGGCAAGGCTACACCCAGGAGGATGTCCCATGGCCGGTTTGCTTCTCCCGCCCTCTGGATTGTATGTTCTCTTGGTGTGTCCTCGCCCTTTAAGGCGGAGGGCTGTGTGGTGTGGATGGCCCTGAAGTCGGCAGATCAGGTCCAAATCCTCACTGTGCCATGTGCTGGCCTGTGACTGGAAGACCAGTAAACAGGAGCTTGAGAGCTACTCCTTTGGGGGTGATAAGGATGGAAGAGATAGGAGTAAAATAGGGCAAGTCCGAAGCGGGGCAGGAGGTCCAGTGAGTGGGCACCAGAGCTACAGTAACGGAAGTGAATGCCACCTGGCACTAGCCCTCTTGTCCACTGATGGACCCTACACCGTCACTTCCCAGAGAGCATGTGTGAGCCACATGCATGACACTGGTGATACTGGAGATAGCATGCAGTGTGTCCCTGGGCAGGCTGGTTCTGCTCCAGTGCCACACACTAACCAGCTGACCCTAATGTGGCATTAGGGCATCCTTGTGCACTGCCTGCTTGCCTTCCTCCTTTAGGAGGTGACACTGATGGTACCACCTTGAGGATCCAGGAAGGCCACTTGACCAAATAGACACAGCAGAAGTAACACTCTGCCAACTCCAGTGTGATTCTTCACAGTCCAACAGGGGAACCACAATGATCTCCAAGCCACATGGTGAATTCAGGGATAGAGACCAAGGGGCACTGCACAAGGAAGGCATCTTGGAAGCAAACACTGTATTCTGGCCCAGACCTATCCAGGCCATGCAGAGGTCAGGCACCGTGCCTCAGACTCCTTCCTAGAGCTCATAGGCACAAAGGAACACTCATTTGAAAGCAGTATGGGAGACACTGAGTCACCACTCATGTCTTCCTGTGATGAAGCACCAAGTGTTCCTGCTGCTGGGGATGGCTCTGCAGGTGGCCCTTGGCCTTCCCGGCTCCAGCTCTCACCTTTCCCAGGAAGCCCACATCCAAATCACTCAGCAAAGCTTCAGCATGATTACAAACAACGCCCATTCCACTGAGCCAGAACACATCATCCGTGCCCTGAAGGTCCTGTGTCCAAACACCCTTCCTCAGAATACTTACTGCTTTTGCCATGACCTTCTGTTTATAAAATCTTTTGTGATGAAACAAAGAGTTAAAATGAGATAGTTTCGGCAATCATTTAAAAATTAGCCTGTTTTGTACCCCCGCCCCAATCACAGGTGGTAGAAAGTGAGTTGCTCCTTTCCCCGCCACACAGGCACTTGCACATAAATGCTGAGAACCAGGAAGTAGACGCTGATGAGGTTGCTGAACAGCAGAATAATGTCAACAAGGACATTAATCAAAATCTTGCTGCTTTCTTCAATGTTCCAAATTCCACAGAGAAGGTGATAGAAGGAGATAAGTGACCTGCAGCAGCTGGAGAAAGCAAGCTTATTTAACCTCCTTTATTTATTAGGTCTCTGCATCAGCGTTTCAAATCACAGAGCAATCACCGAGCCTGTGTGAAGGGATTGCCAGTAACCATCTGTTGTTCTTACCAAGAAGGCAGAAAATACAAAGGCCCCTTCTCCTCTCCTAACGTAGCTGTTAACAGAATATATTAGGACACCTAAAGCTGCAGGAACAATGTGGCATTAGAGAAGGCCAGGACCTGGTGCAGTGGCCTAGTGGCTCAACTACTCGCCTTTAACACGCTGGGATCCCATATGGGCGCCGGTTCTAATTTCGGCAGCCCTGCTTCCCATCCAGCTCCCTGCTTGTGGCCTGAGAAAGCAGTTGAAGATGGTCCAAGGCCTTGGGGCCCTGCAGCCGCATGGGAGACCTGCAAGAGATTTCTGGCTCCAGGTTTTGGATTTGCGCAGCTCTGGCCACTGCACTCACTTGGGGAGTGAAATATCAGATGGAAGATTTTCCTCTCTGTCTCTCCTCCTCTCTGTTTATCTGACTTTGCAATAAAAATAAATAAATATATAAAAAAAATCAGGGGGTCCTGGGCTTTGTTCTGGACCAGCTCTGGTCCACACCAGAACTGCAGAGGATTCCTGGGGGCTGACACGCGACTACTGACGCGGTCCATTTCCAGAGAAGAATTGGAGAAGGAATACAGATCGTGGGTCACTACTTGGAGCAGAGCCACCCCGTCTGTGACACCTACACAAGACTCCGAGTGAGAGAGAAATCAATCCTATAATGGAGAGCCACCGAGACTTTGTGGTTATTTGCTCTGTTTGAAATCGTACAGCAGTGTGTAATAATATAATCCATTTAGGAACAAATGAGGAGTCCATTGCTGAGGGCAGGGGGTTAAGCTGCCATTGGTGATAGGTTATCAGAGCACTGGCTGGAGTCCTGCCTGTTCTGCTTCTGATCAAGCTCCATGCTAATGCACTTGGGAAAGCAGTGGAGGATGACCCGAGCAGGTGGGAACCTGCACCCACATGGGAGACCCTGGGAAAGCAGTGGAGCATTGCCCAAGCAGCTGGGAACCTGTGCTCCAGGACACAAGTGCTACAAGTGGCATTCATTTCACCAATGAGGGATTCAGAAAGAGCTGGCTGGGTAGTAAGGGCGCAGGGCCTGCCAAGGGGCTGCAACCAGACAGTTGTTAAAGATAACAGGAAGAGAACCCTGGATCACATGGTAATTCTCCTTCATGCAACTACCTGATGAGGTGGTTTGTGTACCTCAAGTCTCTGTATGTTGCCTCCATTTAAGCCAGCTGGGCTTCCGGATAACACAGTAGACAGTTCCCACACTAGCTCAGGACTCCAGTCAAGTATGCTTGCAGGTCAAGCTGCCTCCAAGTCAAGCAGCATCCAAAGTGAGCCACAAGACTGCAGGGACTCAGAGGAAGCAGACTGGCATCCACCTCTAGACGGAGGAAACTTGAAGAGTCTAGACAGAGACTCAGGACAGGAAATAATACCAAAGACAACTCTGGAATGTGAAACATGCTGTGATGGAGGAAATGCAAATGTGCACCTTATTTCATTTTAAATGTGTATTTAAAAGAGTGTAGGGGATAGGATTGCCAGATATTAGCTTGCCAGTGCTATACTGACAAAGACCACAAATCGGCTCACTTGAATTTATTCCCTCTAAGACCAAAACGAAGGTGTAGGCAGAGCCTGTGACACCTGCTGGCCTGCTGGAGAATCCATTCCTGCTGCTCCTTGCTTCTGTGGTTTGCGGCAATCCAAGGTACTGCCTGGTTTGGAGAGGACTGTCCTCATGTACAGTGTCTACACGCACCATTCCAGTGTCCAATCGCTCCTTTTGAGGGAACCTCTGTTTACACTGTGCCGGGGGCCGCGTGGTGACTGCATTTTAGCTTGATTGTATCTGTGAAGATGGTACTTCCAATTCAGACACAATCTGACATCCTGAAGTTCAGGATGCCAGCACCGCTTCTGCAGGAAGTGGGTATCTAACCCACCCTGTCATGGGTAGTCGCTCCTCACCAGTGAGCAACACCACAGTACAGGATGCTAACTGTACAGTACAGGATGCTAACTGTACAGTACAGGATGCTAACTCAGAAGAGAGAAAGGAATGAAAGCAAGGGGATAGTCACCCTTGGATGTTATTTCTTAGTCCTTCTTTAGAATTCTGTTATGAAGGATGGTTCTATTCATGCAGCTACAGAAGTGTTAAACTCAGATCAGGGTGGAAATGTTCACCAAGCCCTGCCACCTGGACTTGGGTAGCTTCCCCAAGCATTTTGGGACGTGTCTTCCTTTAAACACATCCACCTGGCGTCCACAGCATGAAAGCTGAGTGGGGAGACTCAGGTATCTCTTGGTTTTGCTTCTCAATAAACTGAAAAGCAAAGCTCAGTGCTTCACTGCTCCTCTGTGTTGCTTGCTCCTTCCCGCTACCGTAGGGGAAGACTGGGAGGGTTTTTCCAGCCTCACCTCTCACACTCTAATTTAAATTCCTGGGTAACCAGGGACCTAGGCAGGCAAACATGAAATGTCATGCATTCCATTTTGCATTTGTGAAACCCACGGGAAACATACCCAGGGACCTGAGAATGCCGGGCTTTGCTGTTCCACAGTG